GCCGCAGTCCCGGACGGCGCAGCCCTCCGCGGGACGGACCGGCGCCGCAGAGGATGCCGCAGGGTGGCCCATTCGGCGGCCGGGCCCCGGGCGGCAGCCCCTCCCCTTCCGGCAGTGGCAGCCCGCCGAGACGTGACGACAGAGTTCCAGAGGAAGAGATCAGGTTGGGCATGGGGCCGGATTCCGGTCTCCTTGACAAAGCTTTGGTTGATGTGCCCCCATTGCCTGTGTAATGGCGAACGCGGGCCATAAGGGTCTCTTCCTGAGGGATTTAGGCATGGAAGGAAATTCCTTGTGGAGAAGGTCGGGCATATGGTTGTTCGGGTTGCAAAGGGTGGGTTGTGTATTACGGTATAGAATGTATGGAAGACATAAGCGAGTTCGTGGACGCGGAGGAGCACTCGGCCTTACAGACTGCTGGCCCAGACTCAAGCCTCCGTCTGTTGTACAAACGCACGGCCCCGCACATGCGGAGCCACACACAGCTCAGACGGACTGACCCATGCGCTCGCAGGACCCGCGAGGATCGTCCACGGCGCCGCAGCGACGCAAGCGACGACGAGTACGGTGGTGGCGGCTACCGGGGCCGGGGCCGCGGGGCCCCGTGGCATGGCAGAGGGCGTCCTCAGTATGATCGGGATCCGTACGACGGTTATGATGAAGGTCCGGGTGGGCGTGGACCAGGCCGGGGCCGCGGATATTATGGGTCGGGTGGGCGTTCTGGCCCTGCCCGGCCTTATGACGATGATGGATACTACGAAGGTGGCGGTCGTGGAGAGCGCGGGTATCGCGCTCGTGGGCGTGGCCCGCCACCGGGCTTCCAGCGTGGGCGCGGTCCCAGGCACGGCTGGGACTACGACGACGGTGGTTATGACCGGTGAGCCTTGCGGGCGTTGCCCGGGATGCATATTGTGCGTCTTCGTCACATCCCAGTGGTATGCATGTACGGGCATGCATGTTGCACCATTTCCTTGGAAATCAGGGCTTGCTTTGCCTACCTGGAGCTACGCGCGATCCCGATATTTGCAAAAATGAAGGCGTCACTTGATTTCCTACATCCCAAACGACCTCGTGCAAGGCAATCCCGTTCCTATGTTGAAAGTCCTGCACTCCTCGTTCTCCGCGCCCATCCTTGCTCCCTGCAGGAGGTACGATGACCGGTACGATGGCTACGACGATAGCCGCGGAGGTTACCGCGAGGGTGGCAGGGGTGGTGGCGGCGGTGGCTGGTACCCAGACCGCGGCGGTGCTGCCTCTGAGGAGCGCTGGAGGCCCGAGATGCCGCCTGAGTTGGATGAAGAGGAGCCGGCCGCCAACCCACGTAGTGGTGGGGGAGCACAAGGCGACCGCAGCCGCTCGGAGCGGCGTGCTGCCGGCGGTGCCACAGCTGCTCCTGCGGCACCTAATCGGCCCTCAGCAGCTGCAGCTGCAGCTGCCGAGGAGGAAGAAACGGCTGAGGAAGAGCGGAGGCGGACGGAGGCGGCGCGCAAAGCTGCGGCCGCCAAAGCCGCCGCGGAGAAGAGCACTTTGGACTTCATGAGCGAGTTTGAGGAGCTGGACCGATTGGATCGGATTGACACCACGGCCATATTGCCGGGAGCCATTTCAGTACCCGCCGCCTCCGAGCCGCCGTCACAGCAACAGCAGCCGAAGTCGGGCGCGGAGGCGGCTGATGGTGCAACGGCAACACAGCCCCTGTTTTCTGTGGCTGCTGGTCCTGCTGTGGCTACCTCCGCTAGTTGGGCAGAGCAGAACCTACGGTCACATGAGCAGGGCGGCGACCTTGCACAGGGCTACGAGCGACTGGGCGGCAGTAGGACTGCGCGCCCCGGGGCAGGAGGTGCTGAGCCTGGCATACCGGTGCGTAATAGTGGCGCGGGTGGGGCTGGAGAGCTGGCAGAGGTGGTGCTTGGCCCGGGAGGAGAAGCTCGCGGCATCAGCACGGAAGGTGTCGGTGGCTCGGATGGTGAGGGCGGTGGCAAGAAGAAGAAGCATAAGAAGAAGCACAAGAAGGTACGTGCTGGACGCAAAATTGGCGGACATTGTAATAGCAGAAAGAAGGTTATTTTGCCGAAAGCTGTAAAAGCGTTGTGCGCACAGATACCCGGGCAGTGGCGGGTTCTTGCGCAAGATTTGATATTAGGAACAGGGCAAAGCCTGGTAAGGGCTGGATACCAGACTTGTTATATCTTACTAAACCACAACTGGATGGTGGCGTCGGAAGACACCGATTGGAAGAGTTTCGTCCGCTTAAATAGCATGGGATGCAGCCATCCCATGAATCGTACAGCCAGTTCCGAAAAGGCGCGGTCCAGTCCCGGAATGGCGTACCGTTGATCCATGCTTCCAATCGATGACGGGGCTCCGCGAGCCAGGGACCAGCGTCCTAGTCGTAGCCTGTGCTACGACCCGCGCCCATACTTCTGCAAGTATGGACTTCCGCCTGAGGCGGCGTTTACTTGTGGCATCCATGACAGCTTCCCGCTCGCCGTCTGACCCAGAGGTCGAAGCCATAAAGATCTTCACTCGGCAGCGGCGCTTCCTGTTGCTGGAGCACCTGGGTGCTGAGGCGGGCCAGGATGCAGCGGCTGCCGAGTGAAGATCTTTATGGCTTCGACCTCTGGGTCAGACGGCGAGCGGGAAGCTGAAGTGTGGTGTGGCCTTGAGTATGCGCGGACAGGAAAGCTTTGGGAGCTCGTTAGTTCTGTGACGTTTTGCTTCGATGGCTGTGACATGACTTCAACTCGTCGCGCCCCCACAAGTCTCCTGGCCTTAACGGTCTTTTCCCTTTAGCTTGATGGTGAAGACTCGGCCTAATGGAAGCAAAGGTGGCATTTTCCGCTTCTTCCGGCTTACCCTTCGTCTTTGTGCCTCTTATCCTTCGGCGTCCCGCCGGCGGGCATTCTAAACGTGTTTCCTCCCCTCGCCGCCTGCGCCTTCGCAGGAGAAAGAAAAAGAAAAGGAGAAGGATAAGAAGGAAAAGAAGGAGAAAAAGAAGAAGGAGAAGGGCCGGCCTCCAGCCGAGGGTGAGGGCGACGAGGCCGAAAGGGGTTTTGGAGGCAAGGAGGCGGGTGCCGAAGGTGACGGCGGCGCCGAAGGTGCGGGTCGCAGGTACAGCGGGCCCGATCAGTCCCCCTACTACGATGATGTGGACGAGCGCGGAGGAGCTGGTCCACGCGCGGAGTACGACAGAACCAACGACTTTGATAGCGGCAGGCGCGGGCGATACGGCCCTGACGGCGGCGGCAAACGAGGAGGATACTACGACGACGGCAGTGGCCCTGGCCCTGCGTTTGATGATGGCTACGGCCGCGGGCGCGGGTAGGGCTTGGCCTGGGTTGTGTGGGCTGGGTGCGTGGGAGGTGACTTGGAAGAGATGGTGAGTTTCCGCCGTTTCGGTTGTGGACGCTGACGCGAGGGAAGGGACTTTGATAAATATGAGTAGATCCCGTCGTTGCACGATAAGTTGTCGGCAGCTTATCGGGTGTTGCCCCGACATCTTCGGGTCGCAAGATGCGGTTTAGACAGTAGCTTATTCCGTGCTGCTTTCGTGAGGTTTCCACCTTCGTGAGGTTTCCATCTTTCCACCTAATAATGCATGAACAACAAGCGCTCACACTTAGTTTTACGTGGGCATCCGTTGTAGCACTTGAGGCACCCTCGCTCCGTTGTCCTTTCTCCAGTGCTTAACGTCGTCTTTTTCCTTCGTGCACCCAGCAACCGAAATCCCCCTCCGGTGCACTACATTGTGCTGCCGCTCAGATGGGAAGCAAAACTGCATTGCCTTGCTCCCTCCCCCCGCCCCTCTTAACCGCTCTCAGAGGATATCGTGGCCGTGGGGCTTATGGGGGCCGTGGGAACTACTACGACAATGACTATGGTGACTACGGCTACGCTCGCGGCCGAGGAGGCCGTGGCGACTTTCCCCCTGGTGGCTTTAGGGGCCGGGGCCGGGGCGGACGATTTGGCAGTGGCGGCGGTGCTGCCGAGGATTACTATGACGATTACGATAGGCCAATCAAACGACAGCGGTATGACGGCGAAGAAGGGCTGCAGGTAAGTGTGCTGGAAACCCTGGGTTCCGCAAAACAGATAGGGCACGTATCATGCACGCCTCTGACAATTGCTGATTTGCTTTTCGCATGACTCTTCATAAATTATTTCTTTCTATTGTATTCTGTGCTGTTCTGGGGCGATTTAAAGGAGGCACATTTGATGTCCTGATGCGCGCGTGAACTGAGCCAAGAGCACGCCGACCCCGCCCCATGGTTCTGCACCTGTGAAACACGACGTGTGACACGCTTGCATTGCTTGCCACGCCTTGTACCTACATTACTTCAGGGAGGGCCCAGTCGCCGACCCATGGGGCGATGGCCCGACGACGGCTCAGACGATCGCCGCTTTGGCGGCTGCGGAGGCGAAAGTCCCGGTCGTGGTCCTCGGCGCCCCAGCCCTGGCGGCCATTCTCTATCGCCGCCGCCGCGCCGCCGACCTACTTCTCGCTCTCGGTCGCCAGGCCCGGGAGCAGGCCGCTCGCCGCCGCCTCGGGGTCGCCCTCGCGGCGCCGGCGGCATGGGCAGTGGGCCTACGCGTCCCCGCATCGACTGGCGTTCCCGCTCCCGTTCTCGGACGCCTCGCTCACGTTCACACTCGCGATCGCCTTCCCGCGACTCTCGCTCGCCACCACCACGAGCCGGCGGCCGTCCCCGCGGCGGCGGCCCACCCTACCGGAGGGGGCCATCGTGGTCCCGCTCTCCTCGGCCGTATCGCGGCACGTCAAGATCTCGCTCGCCAGGGCGATCCGGGTCGCCGCCGCGGCGCGCTGGTTCTCGCGGTCCTGCTGATGGCGGTAGTGGTGGCGAGGGACGAACTAAGGAGGAGATTGCGGAGGAGCTGGCCCGGGCGGCGGAGCTGGCGCGCGCTGCGTCACAGCTGTCAGGCTTGGCGCTGCCGCTGCAAGCTGCCCTGGCGACGGCGGCGCCGAATCAGCAGCAGGTCTCCCGTCACGCGCGGCGCGTGTACGTGGGCGGCCTGCCGGCGGGCATGTCGGAGGTATCGCTGACGCAGCTGTTCAACAACGTCATGATGGCGGCAGGCGCCACGACGCAGCCAGGCGGGCCGGTGATATCGTGCTACATGAATAACGAGAAGCGCTTTGCATTCCTAGAGTTTAGGTGAGACGGAATTGCTGGAGGCGGACACAAAGGAACAGACTGGCGGAGTAAAGAGATCGGGGCGGGAACACGTTCAGGGGGCCGCACTTGTGTGTTGAGGAGGCCGGTCGGTTTGCTCGTCTACGCTTACTCGCATAGCCTCTAATCCTGTTTGCGGATGGGCGGGAACGGGAGAACGCTTGAATACGTATATGAGAGCGGGAACTTTTGGGAGATCGCCGCATTACCATCATGCATGTCATACCTCACCTCCCTCATCCCCCTCGCGCGTTCCTCCTTTCCTGCCCCTTTCCAGGTCTGTGGAAGAGACATCTAACGCCATGGCTTTTGACGGGTTGCAGTGCCAGGGTGAGACGCTCAAGGTGCGGCGGCCACATGATTACAATCCCGCTGCCGCCAAGCTGCTAGGTCCAACGGAGCCCTCCGCAAAGATTAACCTGGCATTGCTGGGTGTGGTCAACACGCTGGTGGAGGACGGACCCAACAAGGTGTTCGTGGGAGGCCTGCCGGGCTACCTGTCAGAGGAACAGGTGATTGGGCGGTGTGGTGTGGTGCAGGGATGATGGTGGGCGGTGGGCAGCGGCGGGTCACAGCCGGGCAGTGTACGTGTGAAGGGGTTTGAGATTTCGGAGGAAGGCGCAGGAGTGCGTGTACGTGTAAAGGTGTAACGAGCTTGAGAAGATCCCCGAGTCCTGCAGAGCTGGGAGCTTCGTTGTGCAAGGAATTTCTCAGCTCTTGTGGATGCGTTACAAACCCTTTCGAGTCCTCTCTTTGCTTTCGCCGTTCTTGAGCGCCCTTAAAACTCCCGCTCCTGCCTCCTTGCAACGGAACCGACCGCAATGGATCGCAGGTGCGTCAGATCCTACAGGCGTTTGGGCCCCTGCGTGCCTTTAACTTGGTGACCGACCGGGACACGGGTGCCTCCAAGGGCTACGGCTTCTGCGAGTACGCCGACCCCAATATCACAGATGTGGCCATCCAGGTGGGTGGGTGGGTGCGTGAGTCGGTGGAATTTCAAGGGACGGTGGCGGTGGGTTTGATGGGTTCGGAACACGTTAATGTCATGCACAGTTGGTTAGGGGATCGGTTGGAGAAGAATTTTTCCTTAAGGAAAAAAGCCTACAAAGTGGAGAGCTAAAGATGGTGATGAAGGCCGTTTTTGACGTCTCTGCTTTGCAATATGCACATCTAAAGCTTTTTCGTGTCCCTGGTCTGCTGGCCACGGCAACCAGAAGGCCAGAGAGGTCATGCGGGTTATAATGCGGTTTTCAATTGTAAGCCCGACGGCCTCGCCACTTGGGTGTGTCACAGGGGTTGTCAGCGCTCATCGTGGGCGGCAAGCCGCTTACTGTACGGCGCGCCAACACCGCCGGTGAAGCGTCCGCGACGTTACAGACTCTCATTCAACAGCAACAGGCAGCTCTGGTGGGCGCGCCGCCCGTCGCGGCTGCTACTGCTGCTGCTGCCGCCGTCGCAGCGCTAAACGCCGCAAATGCAGCGGCGGCGGCAGCCCATGCCAAGGCTGCAGCAGCAGCCGGTGGTGGCACTGCCGCCGCCGGTGGCGCGGCGGGGGCGACGCCGTCAGCCCACACTGTCGTACGGCTGTCCAATATGGTGTCCAGAGAGGATCTGGTGGATGACGGCGAGTACATGGACCTGATGGAGGACGTGACACAGGAGGTCGGCAAGTACGGCAAGCTGGTGGGGGTGGAAATACCGCGGCCACCCCCTGACGGTGGCCCCGACCCGCCTGGCGTGGGCTTTGTGTACCTGTGCTACGAGGACCCCCGCGGCGCTGAACGCGCGCAGGTGGCGCTGAATGGCCGGAAGTTTGGTGACAACCTGGCTGAGGCCACGTTTTATGACCGCTCGCGTTTCGACGCGAAGGACCTGTCTTGAAGGGCTTTCTGCCGGGCGGCCTCGGAGTGTGTGGGTCTTGGGTTAGGATATCTGGTGTATTGGGCCTCGTAGGTAAGGTGGCGGGCCTGAGAATGGCTCAGGGCAGGACGATTAGGTGATTGATAGGAGGGTCTATGCTCCTCCCCTCCTTTCACTCATGGGTGCAACTCGCACGGGCGGAATTCGCCGATGCAGATGAGGTCATGATTTACGGCGCTGCTTTGCTGGTGATTGCACGGGGCGCTAGGGATTGCGTCTAGGGATGAGCGCGTATCTTTGCCTAGGCAGGCGGGCAGCGGCGGGGATCATGGTGCTCTATGGCACAGAACTCAATTGCACAGAAAGGCGGTTGAAAAAAGGACGGTTGGGTACGACTACATACTTTGCTGTATCTACTTTTCGCTGTTTCATATGTAAACATCATAAAAATGTGATCTGGCCCGTGATTACACGTTGATTTAGATTACACATTGATTTCGCTTGGAAGCCTGACCGGAGACATGTTATATAGGCTAGTGCTTGTGCTGGCGCTTTCACATTTCTTTACTATTGGTGTCTTTCTACATGGTTTCCTTCTTACCCGTCTTGAGTTGCCGGATAAGAGTACATGCAGTGATCCGGAGCTGTCAGTTGGGGAAGATGGGCAAGCAGAGCCCCTTGGTAATGGGTGCTGGTCAGAATCTGTTTTCGACAGGGCAGTAGTTATTATTATTGATGCGCTCCGCTACGACTTCGTCTTTGGAAATGAGAATCGACAAGGACACATGCCCAAGCTTACGGGCCTGCTGTCAGACGCGGTACGCACAGTCTGGGCTGGGTTTGCATTGTAAGGCTTCTTGCAAATTTACAGTCTGCTACAGGGCGCAGCTGCGGTGGCCCTTAAGTTTATCGCGGACACCCCAACCATTACGATGAGCCGGCTCAAAGCTATCCTAACGGTGCGTCCCACTTCCCCAGCGGTCCAAGCCAGTTATATGCAATTACCCTTCCTCCTCTGCCTTAAACCTCGTGACTGCAGCCCCGCTGCCGCCGCCAATCCTTGTCCTGACCTCTCGCCCACTTCCCCCAACCTATACTCGAATCCCAACCAGCGCCCAAACCACTTCTTCCCCACTCCCTCAAGCCTCACACAACGCAACCTCCGAACCACACACACACTCATTTCCCGGACACCTCAAAATTCTCCACAGGGCGGCCTGCCCACCTTCCTGGACATTGGTCAAAGCTTCTCGGCAGCTGCTCTCGGCGAGGATAACCTCCTGGCGCAGATGCGGGCCCGAGGGATGCGCGTGGTATGTCTGTCACGCACTCTGTCCGTCCGTTCCCCTTTCCGCCTGTCCAGACGTCACGTATGGTGACATCGCCATCGGGACATGCTGCTCGCCGCTCACTGTTCCTGCTATGTTCCTGCGGTTGCCGCTGCAGCTATTGCGGTTGCTGATTCTTTTCTTTGTTACCGCTGGTTAAAACATTGGACGGCAGCCGTACACAGCGACGGGTCGTACGCTCGCCTGACCCAACCCCGACCTGGACCACTATCGTCCGCATTTGGGGCGCGAATCAATTCTCGCCATGCGTACTCTCCCATCCACTCCCTGCTTTCCATCAAACCCCTGCCAAACCGCCTCCCCCTTCTTCCCCGTCGCCCAGGTGGTCATTGGCGACGACACGTGGGCCCAGCTTGCTCCGCCCGACCACTACACTGCCTGTCACCCCTATCCTGCCTTCGATGTGCGCGACCTACACACCGTAGATGATGGCGTGTGGCATGTGAGTTTGGATGTACGGATGTACGGATGGGTGCATGTTGCGTGTGTGTTTTGGATGGGTTTAGGGGAACCGGGAGCTCTCACCCGCAGACACCACCTCCATCTCGCCCCCCCCAGGTAACCTCCTGCCCTCCCACCTCCCATTAGCTCCTCCCCGCGCGGGGGGTGGGGGGGTTCCAGCCCCGTGTCTGTGTTTTCCTATCTCGAACTCCGATGACTCACCCACTCGCACCTATTTTTTCCTTCCCCGCTGCAGCACCTGCTCCCATATCTGCGCCACGCCACAGCCTGCTCGGGTAACTGCACCGCCGTTACTGGTGGTGGTGCCGCTGCTGCTGCTACCGCCGCCGTGGAAACTGCTTCTGCTGCCGCCGTGGATTGGGACGTGCTGGTGGCGCATTACCTAGGCGTGGACCATGCGGGGCACACGTACGGCGGGGCCAGCAAGGAGATGTACGACAAGTTACGGCAGATGGACGAGCAGGTCGCAACAGTTGCTGGTGGGAAAAGGGCCCCGCGCGGGCGCTGGGAGGTGCGGGGGCTGCGGCGTCTTTCAGCGCATGGGGGTTCCCAACACACGGCGGCATATCCACACCGTGCACACATTTCAGGGGGGAACCGCTGGGGAACACGCGGGCCGGCGGGTGCATTCCTTTCCGCATACACCCAGTGGGAACACACTCATGCAGGACCAGGTGATTGGTTCAGATGAACTCCGGCATTCGGCGCCAATCACACGCTGTGTTTTCTTGCGAGGCTCTTAGATCACATGTGTACACACGCGTCGCCAAAACACACACACACACACATACACACATTTCCCGTTCCGTCCTGCTCTCTGACCTGTCATTTCCATCCCCGGGCCAGTGGCCTAACCGACGCTTCTCATCCCTCTTCGCCTCCCCTCCCCTCCCCGCCGGGGGCGGCGCGGACTTCCCGGCAGAGGAGCTGTTGGCGGCAGCTGGCGACGACTCCACGGGCGACGCCGCCGCCGCGGCGCCGTACAGTCGTACACTGCTGTTAGTTCTCGGAGATCATGGCCAAACGATGAGCGGCGAGTGCTGCACGTTTCCATGCAGGGGGATGCTATTTCCTTGTTGTGCAAATAGCTTCTTGTCCTTTCTGTCCCCCATAGTTAAGTGCACCGCCTCTTAATCAACTCAGCCACCGTATCTCAAAACGCCGCCGTCATGCCAAAACGCGGGGCCCCCCCGCCGCACATCGCCAGGTGATCACGGTGGCGGCTCGGATGCTGAGCGGGAAAGCGTGCTGTTGGCGTTCAATATGGGCCGCTGGAAGAGGGCAAGGCAGGTTGCTGCGGCCGCAGCCTCCGGAACCGGGGACGGCAGGGGAAAAGGCGGGACCCCTGCCGCTGACATCACAGCAGCGGCGGCGGCGGCTGCGGCGGCCAATTCGGCGGCGCCTGAGGCCATATCGCAGATAGATTTGACACCCACGCTGGCGCTGCTGCTCGGCCTCCCCGTACCGTACGGCAACCTGGGCCGGGTGAACCGACGGCTGTGGGATATGGCCCACGGGGAGGGGCGCGGTCGAGCAGATGGTGGCGGCGGCGGTGCTGCCGCCGCCGCCGCCGCTGCCGACACCTGTTGCCGGGGCGTCATCACTCCGGACGCCACTGCAGCCACTGCGGCCGTCTCCACGGCGGGGCACTCGCCGCCGTCACCTGCGCCCAGTGGGCAAGGTGGCGCCAGGAGGAGCTACCTAGCAGCGCTGCGGGCCAACGCCGTACAGGTGGGCCGCTACTTGGCGTCGTACGCCGCTAAGGCCGGGCTGCCCTCGGGTGGGCTGGGGCACTGCACTCGGCTGCTCCGTGAAGCGCATGCGGCGTTCCGTCGGCTGCACCGTTGCGGCGGCAGTAGTAGCGGTGGCGGCCGCTGTTGCAGCTGCAGCGGCAGTGGCAATAGCAGCTCGGAGGGTGACGTCATCGTCGGGAACAGCGGTCGCGGGAGAGACACCGCCGTCGGCGCTAATGCAGGCGACGACAGCGGCGATAACATCGGCAGCGGCGGCGGCGGGGAGGATCCTGTGGCGGATGAGGACACCGTGGCGTCTCTGTACGAGGCGTTTCTAGAAGCAGCAGCGTCGCTGGCGCGGCTCAAGTTCACTCGCTTCCGCCTGGGCTCCATGGCATTGGGTTGCGGACTGGCCCTGGGCTGCGTGTGTCTCCACGTTTGGCTGCTGGCCAGGTGCGCAGCCGCCGGCAGGTTCGGGTGACGTGATGGTCTCCAGCACACAGAGGGAACACCCGCCCAACACCCACGCCACTACTGCAATTAGCGGTTTAAGGTCCTGGGTTCGATTCCTGGGGAGACCCCCGAATTAGTCGGGAGCGCGAGATTATGGCTAGCTGCTGAGATGTGGAGTTGAGGTCACAGTTGATGGACCAGATTCGCACGCTGGATTGGTGGCGATTGCCGAACCCTCCGTCTCTTCGGGTGTTCGGGTGAATGGATGAGGAAGGGTCCCCGAAGGCTGGATCCGCCGCCTTGGACTTACGGTTCGTATGGCGAAGTACAGTGTGGTAGTGGTGGATGGTGCTATAAGGTGATAAATGATATAGAACTGACAATGTGATAAAGCGGCCCAGAAGCTTCCCACTCTGTAACATTACATTACATTACATTACATTACATTACATTACTACTGCAAGCATACCGGGACATACTAGGAGTGGTTTCTTCGCCGAATGAGTAAAAAGTACTCTCAAGCGCGACGTCACCCCAGCGCTACCCCCTTCTCACCGGGGCTCATTAGCTCGCGCATTAAGGCACATGAGATATGTACCTCATTCGGTGCCAGATTAGGCAATACGCAACAGCGGTAAAAGCGCATAGAGGAGAGGCAGACTTGAGGGCTCCGGTAGCTTGGGTTCCGGTTTCATCCTCTGGCGACAGAGCATCAACGGGCTTGGGAGTGAATCCGGATGCCGTACAGGCATCTTAACGTCTCCTGGGGTCGTCTGTGAGCTGTATCATGATGTATGTACGACCTGTGGGTCGGATTTGGATGCGTGCACGCCGGCATGTTCGTGCGATGCGCTGTTGCGCCCCCCCGCAGGCTGTGTGGGTGCGAGATGGAGTTGTTGCTGGACCCGCTGGGTGGCGGCGCCGCGGCGGCGGCGTTCGTCCATGCGCTGGGGCTGTTCAGCGCCAATTGGATTCAAGGCGAGGGCCGGATCCAATGCTACAGCCTGGCGGCGGCAGCGCTAGCGCTGTGGGTCCTTGCAGCATTCCGAAAAGACGACGACGATGACAAAGGTGGTGAGGGCGGAGGTGAGGAGGGTGACGGAGGCGATGTCCAGTAGGGGAGCAGTGCAGCGCGTGTGGAGGACACAGTTCTGTTTAGCGGCGGCGGCCGCGATTTTGCTGATATTCATATTCATAATCGGTGCCATTGCGTATGGGCTCTGGCGCCGTCAGAGGAGATAGCCGCTGCGGCAACAGCGTCATCAGCCCCGGTGGTAGGGACGGGGAAGGCGGAGGCTGTAGCAGCAGCTGTAGCGGCGGCGGCGGCGGCCACGGTGGTGACCACACCTGCGTCCGCCCGGCTTGCTGCGGGTTAGAAGGGAGGAACAGGACGTTCTTTCCGGTTGCTGCTGCAGCTGCAGCTGTTGCTACTGCTACTGCTAGTGCTAGTGATGTCGCCGCTACCGCTTCTTGTGCTGTTACAGGGCCGGCGGTGGCGGCGGTGGCGGCCGCGTCTTTGTCGCAATGCCACCGTGCTGTACGGCAGGAATCTGGAGGATGCGGCTGCCGGGATCATCGTGATTCGTCGCGGCATCCTAATCATCAAGGGACTCTGCGGCCCCAGCCTAGGCCTCCTCGACAGCAGAGGCGGCAGCAGCAGTTATTCGTTCGGCCCTCCTGGAGCTACGTGGAGCTACGGCGTCGGGCTCGACTGGGCGGCTTGGTAGCTGTAGCACTAGCATGCAATCTGGGGCTGCAGCGCTACAGCCTCATCGACCGATGGGGTAGCGATCCGCATGACAAGCGACAGCTGGCGGCGGCGGGCGTGGCTGTAGCGGCGGCGGCGACAACGACAATCCCGCAGGCCGCTGCTGGCGGCGCGGGAGCTGTGGTGAACCCGTTGGCCGCGGTGCCTCCGCGGGCGCTACTGCTAGCGGCGCTCGAGACGCTGGTGCCGTTAGGGCTACTGCCTGCGCTGCTTGCGGTGCTGCGGCCGCAGAAGCCGATGCCAGTCCTAGCTGCTGACGCTTTGGTACGGCATCAGCGGCGGCGCCGGCAGCAGCAATTTCAAGGCGGCTGGCGAGGGCTGCAGTGGAAGCTGCTGGGAGTGGCGCCGTTCCAGCTGGCGGCGGCGCTGTGGGTCGTACAGCTGACGGGCGCAGGCGACCTGTCCTTGCGTGCCATGGCGGCGGGGCCGTTGGTAGCGGCGCTTCTTGCGCCCGCACGCGGACTCCTCCGAATAACAATTTCACCGCTGCTGACGGTGCTGTACGGCATGGGTGGGTCGGCGCTGTTTGGGACGTTGCGGACCGTGGCACGATGGCCTGCAGCAGCCCTGCTATGGGAGGGAGCTGTAGCGGTCTGTGAGCTGCCGTTGCGGCTTCTGCTGCCCCGTCTCGTGTATGGTCTGGCATGCCTGGGAGCCCTGCAGATGCCACTGCTGGCGGCGGCGTGGCTAGGGGCGGCGGAATCGCGCTGGCGGCGACCGGGGCAGTGGCGGCGGGGGACGGTCGGATGCGGGTGCGCTGTGGTGCCCTCAGCCGTGGCGGCCGCAGCCGTCGCGGATGGAGGGATCGACGTGTTGTACAGGGGTTCGTACAGTCGCGACGGCGGAGACAAGACGATGGCGTGCTCGCGGAAGGGAAGTACGGCCGGCCCCAGCAGTACGGCGGTCGTGCTCGACGCCGTGTGTACGGCAATCAGCGGCTTCACGGCTGTTGTGTCGCTGCTGTTGGGTCAACGGGGTCCCGTCATTATGTTGTTGCTCTGGGCACATGCGCTGAGCCTCTTTGGCCTGCTGCTGGTAGCAGGACGGCCCCGCCGATGCCGAGTACGGCAAGACACCGGTACGGCAGCGCCGGCGGCGGCGGCAGCAACGCCAGCAGGGCCAGCAGCGGCAGGTTTGGAGGCTGCGGCTGGCGCTTTACTGGCAGCGCTGGGCACGCATGCCTTCTTCCTCACCGGGCACTTTTGCGAATTCTCCGGTCTGCAATACGACTCACCCTTTGTGGGATTCGATCACATGACCTGGTTCGCGACGCCGCTGTTATTCTGGCTGAATTCGTTTGGCGGCCTCATGTTGCCCGCCCTTTCGCTCCCGCTCGTGGCAGTGGCGGTCGCCGCCGCGGAGGCGCCATCATCTGCCGCCAGACGTTCGCCGCCACACCCAGGCCATGCCCGGGATCACTCGCTGCATAGCCCCCGTCACCACCACCAGGATTACAGCCAAGGTCACGTAAACACCTGCGACGGAGGTAATGCCGATGCCGACCAATCGCAATACACAGCCTCGCGGCCACTGATTGCATCAGGCAGTGCGCAGGCGCTGCACCAACCAGATTCCTCATTGCCACCACGAACCCGGACCCTGCGCCCGACTCCGGACACCTCACCGTCGCGTCCGCTTCAGCCGCCGCAGGTACAGCCGCAACAATCGCAGCAGCACCGACTGCTCCAGCAGCAGCAGCAACAGCAACAGGCGCCACGCGACTGCGGCGGTGAAGTCCAGGCAGGGGCAAAAGATTCCGACCCGGACTGCTCCATCCTCCGTCGAGCTGCGTGCGGCAACGCTGACCCGCCCCACTGTCCGGGGCCTGGTGGTGGTGGCTATCACGGCCTTGGCGGCGGTGGCGGCGGCAAAGCCGGTCATGGCGAAGCGCTGGCCGGGCGTCGGGATGGTGGCGGCGGTGGTGTGGTGGTGTTGGTGGCGCTCTCCTTTTGGCGCTCGCTTGCTCTGTGTACGGCAGTTATGAACGCGGCCCTTCAGCGGCACCATGTGGTGGTGTGGGCGCTTTTCGCACCCAAGCTCGTGTTTGAAGTGGGCTTCACGGCAGCTACGTACGTGACTCTGTTGGCGGCGGCAGCGCCCCTAGCAGCTGTGATGGTGGAGGCGGAGGCGGCGCCGGACAAGGATGAGGGTTCCTGATCGTACTCAGGGCTGACGGTATATGTGTATTGCCCATGTGTTATTCTTAAAGGGTGCTGTACAATGCCGTGTGTACAATGCCGTGTGGTTCATTGGTTGGTGGGACTAACGAGCCCTGGGCACGAGACGTGAGGGGGTGGGGAGCGAGGGGGTGGAGACCTGCGCCGCTGTGGGTCGGGTTGAGTTGGGTTGGGTTAGGGGGCCTACGTCAGTGCACAAGCGTGGCATGGTACGGGCATTGGCGTCAAGGGGCAATACCGCAGAAGAGAGCAGCGGGAAAGCCAGGCAAATCGATGGTGTAGTGTGTAAGGGGATGGGATTTCATCACGGTAGAGGTGGGTACCTGGAGGCTGATGTACTGCTTCATGACGAGCTATACCATGTTGTGACTTCATCGGTGGATCGATGGTGATGTGGATTGACCCACGAGTACGATCAGGGTCCATTGTAAGCATTGCAAACTGCGGAGCATGCCTGCATGTGAGGTTTCCCATGACGTGACGTGACGTGACGTGACGTGACATGGCGCCATCGGCCGAAGAAAGGGAAATGCCGCTGAAATGGCGACCCACCGTGTACGGAATTTGCGACACATCCAGGTGAGCTGGCGCAGCCAAGTAGTTGGGTGCCCAGCTTCCGACGAGAGGCAACGAAGATATCGGACGATAACGAAAGGTCTAGGAGAGGGGGACTGAAGTCGCTGCCCCCAATGTGCCCCACAGTGAATGCGCCTGCTGCTGCTGTTGATAGTACTAATGATGATGATGGTGATGATGATGGTGACGATGATGACGTGCAGGAAACGGTGTTTGTTCTGCTGTTGGCAGAATCTACCCACACGCCTGCTGGCTGACCGTTTCTCTCCTGCCCGCTGCTCTCCGTCCAACCTTCGACGGACCCAAACACCCAAACACACTTACGTACATCCATACATCGTCAACAATTCCCACCAGCGGTGGTGGCTTGACGATGAGTGGAGAGAGATTGAGCGAGGGAGAGATCCATGCCGCTGTCATGGATAGTAAGTATATGGTGTGGACATGCTTCACGGAGGTATGCCCCTACTTGCCGTGCACTGATCTACAGCTCGCTCGACATCCATTCCATTAGCCGCCGCCACCAGCGGGATCGAGCATTTTACCATCACCTTCTACATTATTTACCTGCTGCACCTGCCTGCGCTATCCCATGGTTTGGGGAAGAGGGGCGGAGATTTCCGGGGCATTTCTGACCCACCATCACCAGACGGAACTTTGCATACCAGCCTCGTCTAGGGGTGATCGTTTAGGTGATATGTAAAAAGGCATACTTACCTGGCCCGCTTCTCGAGGTGGTCAACATGGCCTCGGTTGTATGATCGGTCTTCGCCTTGCACTGTGCGAGGGCCTTTCGTAGTCGGCCCTTCGGGTGTCCGGCAGGGCTAAATTTTTGAAAGGCTGAGGATCCGCGCAACGCGCGACCTCGGCGCCTACCCTCATTTATCGAGACAAGAGTTGAGACTAGGTTTCTCCCTTAGTTATGATTTGCCCAAGTGGATAATTGTGCCTGCACCTAGGTCCAGATGACCGGCCGTCTTCAAACAAGCCGCACATGGCCTTGGGGACCGAGAGCGGCCAGCACTCAAACAAGCAACCCTTACAATCAACCAAGCAACTATAGACGTGAAAAAACGAGAAGTACAGCAGCAGCGTGCCTCCGCTTAGCAATTGGACGTATACTGCACAGCACAGCTCAAACGCCCCGGTAGGCTGTGCAGGTCAGAACTCGTCAACGGTTGGGTGCCCAACGCGACGGCCTTCAACGCCGGGCAGGAGGCATAAATGAGGATACGACGCAGTGCCGATAGGTAGTAAGATTACTATACTGTAAATGTTGAGAGGGGAGTGCTGTCACCCACCGCCGGGTACGCATTTTGCCTACATTACCGCGCTTAGCTCCCCAGGACACTGCCATATTTTGCCCATTTCTTCACCGCCGCCTACAAATCATGGAAATTACTGAGGCCGTAGTACAATCAGCAATCTTCAATCCCTGTTCTTGGTTTTGCTAGATTGTTACGGTCATAGGGCTTAGTGGTTCGTGACAGAGCTTCATCTAGACCATCAGGGCCCCAGGCCTATCGGAATGAACTTGCACGTCATGCACCTCATCCGTTGGTCCAGGGGCCACAACTTACGCTTATTATTTAGCCTGGCTAATAAGCTGAACATAACTCCCCTCCTGGCCTCGGTGAGGATGGTTCGGCATGTGGAGAAATGTTATCTTAGCCTAGGTACCAGGCGCCCCACACAACAGGGATGGCCTCTCCCTACCAACCCCAGGCCCGCACTATCTGAATGACGGTATAGCTTCTGGAAGGGTACGGCAACACCCCACCCTCAACCCCACCCGTCACCCCCACGTCAACATTCCTCTCTACGCCACATCCGGGAATACCGAAAGCCGAACCACTGAACACCCTCAGCTACCCCAGCCACCCAGTTGCACTACAACACGACACAACACGGCTGTTTGTCCGCTTTGTATTAGGAGCCACCGGTTGCTGGATTCATCTGTCGGCATGTGCAGCTGGCATGTGCAATCACCCTCATCATGTATCCTTGCCGCCCATCATCACCGCCAAGCCGCCTCTACACCCGCCAGGCTCATCGGGTTGGCCAATGGGTTCCCAGATATCGATACAAAGAAGGGGTCATCAAATAACCGGACGTCTATTACATTTGCATAAACAGCTGCCCCGCAAGGCGGACCTGGTAGCCCCTTGAATTATTGCAGGTACTCACACACGGGGGGGTGGGGTTGGTCACCAGGTGGCAGTGTTACATGGGACACTATCGACAGTGGTATCCAGGGTGGTGATGGTGCGTGGTGATGATGGTCGAGAAGATGGTCTCAATGGTGAAACATTGGCCACACCAAAATGCAGCGCGGTAAGGTAACTGAATGAACATGTTTGGGCCCATGCCGTGTCGCATCATATAATCGTAGCCCGACAAAGTATGTGCGCACGGGAGACTCCTCGCCCAGCATTCACCCGAATTAGATATACGTCGCTATCCAGATAGATCCGGACTCCCCCCGGACCTGGAGCAGCTTCCTAGGCTTCCCTCTGCCAGCGCCTTCAGAAGCCTATTCAACAGCCAGCTACTGAAAGTCCTCACCTTGCTGAATATGTAATGTAATGTAATGTAATGTTACAGAGTGGGAGGCTTCTGGGCCGCTTTATCACATTGTCAGTTCTACGATTTGTCATCTTATAGCACCGTCCACCACTACCACACTATACTTCGCCATACGAACTGTAAGTCCAAGGCGGCGGGTCCAGCCATCTAGGACCCCTCCTCATCCATTCACCCGAACAACCGAAGAGACGGAGGATTCGGCAATCGCCACCAATCTAGCGTGCGAATCTGGTCCATCAACTGCGACCTCAACTCCACATCTCAGCAGCTAGCCATAATCTCGCGCTCCCGACTAATTCGGCGGTCTCCCCAAGAATCGAACCCAGAACCTTAAACCGCGAATCGCAGTAGTGTCAACCCAGACCAGACCTGCTGAATATGTGTAATGTAGTGTTATTACAGAGTGGGAGGCTTCTGGGCCACCTGAACACAATGTCATTTCTACGATTTATCACACCATACAGCGCCATCCACCATTACCACACTGTACTACGCCATATGAACTGCAAGTCCAAGGCGGTTAATCCTGTTCATCCTGCCTTCTAGGATCGCCCGTCATCCAGTCACCTGAACATCCGCAGGGACAGAGGGTTCAGGAATCGCCACCAATCCAGCATGTTAATCTCGGTCCGTCAACTGTGACCTCAACTCTACATCTCAACAGCTAGCTGTATTCTCACACTCCCGACAATCTCTAAGGTCTATCAGACTTGCTAAGCATATCTCAGTAGCAACCCCTCGCCACTGCCACCATTCGGATCCAAATTCCACATTTTGAATATGTATCTACCTGCTTACCATTCCACGAGTTTAGAGGATGCGGGAGTACTGGCCACATACGTACAGCCACCTTGGACCCACCATCGCCAAACAGACTTATGACTGATTGACTTGCTTGGGTTAGTCCCGACGCCACTTCGTGATAAGGCATACTTACCTGGCCCGCTTCTCGAGGTGGTCAACATGGCCTCGGTTGTATGATCGGTCTTCGCCTTGCACTTTGCGAGGGCCTTACGTAGTCGGCCCTTCGGGTGTCCGGCAGGGCTAAATTTTTGAAAGGCTGAGGATCCGCGCAACGCGCGACCTCGGCGCCCAGTACTTCATGCGGCAGTACACTGTCGATACGACAGCAATATGTCAAAATTAATGACAAGTATGCTGATGCAATAAAAACAGTTAGCTGTCGTCAGCTGCTGCCTTTCTGCGGCGAACACGGAGACACATGCTTCGGCCATGCCGCAGCGTATCTGCGGCCCTAATCCCATTTTGCATATCACCCAAATGCTTGCACAGAGGTCTAGTATCCCTAAAAGTATTCATAATCTGTAAGGCGCTGGGGGTGCTATGCCCCCCCCAGACCACCCCCCATGAGTTACAGTTTAGTTCGTACAAAAGCCGGGTTTGGGGAATGTCGCAACACACACACCACACAATCTCTCCAGAGAGGTGTCTCTTACTATTGTATTGTATTGTATTGTGGTTACAGTATTTCCGCCGCCGACGCGGCGGGTGCCCTCACGAGCCGTGAGGCTCCAGAGCACGCTGTTGACGCTCATCAAAAACCTCAGTAAGGAAAGTAGCGATTTTCCTCGGATTGGTATTAAGAAATACCTTGCGCATATCAGTATCTTCAACGTTAATCAGAAACCTATTACGCAACTCAGTATACGCCTCACACTCCATGACTTACACGCCAGGAAGCGGCACGCACTTAGACGCTTTGACAGGAAGCCATAGAAACCCTGCGTACGGTACTGCCAGAATTTCCTGCCTACGGACACTGGTAGCATATCCCGACGGTTTTACACCATTCGACCAGCACCAACGCTCGCTGGTGTCGTTTGGGTTCAGGAGCTCGAGCACCAGGCTGAATGAAACTCTATAATCGGACTCATCCCGGATGACCTCTTGGTGGGCATCCCTGTTGTTAAACATCTAGTCTGCCGCGTGAGTTATGCCGGTGGCGGGAATTGGCCAATGGAATAAACTACCTCCATTTCGCAACAAATAATGCAAAATTTCACGTACATTGTCACATTTCATGTTCTTTCTGCGCCAACTCAGGATTAAAGGATACCGCCGAAAAATGATCCTGCCCATATGCACCCCAATTCTCGCCGCACATCCTCTCCCTATCTTCGCTTAGACGTTTTTCTGCACAAGCTAACCACAGTATCCACCATCCACCTTCACTTGTCCTTCATCCTTCGCCACGGTAGCCGAAGCCTCCGCATCGGCGCCTGCCCTAGGCACCACAGAGGCAGCTGCGGCCGCTGATGGTGCAGCAGCACCGCCTCCCCGTTGCCCCACCGTATTTAACGGGGCGATGATCTGAGCGCATGCGTCTACGACCAGCGCGGCATTGTACACGGGGTTCTTTCCTCCGCCACGATTGATTAATCATTTGGCTATTTGCTGTACCTGCTGTTGGCTGCCGTAGCGGCGGTCTAGCCCAATGGCACGACAGCGACATCAGCGGCGGCGGCGGCCGTGGCGGCATCTGCTGGTACGGCCTCGCCCAAGGACGTGAAGACCGCAACGGCCGCAGCAGTTGCGGTTCGGGAGACACCCATGCTGCAGCAGCCGACGGTGCGAAAGTCATTCGAGGGTCTGGATCTTCAGTCCGCCAATGACGGAGGCACATCTGGAGCTCGATTTCTTAAAGGTCTGCGACTCCAGGATTTCAACGGTGCATGGGTTGGGAGCCTTTTGAGCGGGACAGGTTAGGAGCCCGGGCGCGAAGATACTGTATGACAGGGAAAGGAATGTAGAGAGTGAATGACGTGCCACGCTGCTGCTATTGCGCATCATGAACTGGCCATGACGCTGACCGTCCGCCTCATTTGGTAGTTGCTGTTATGGGGTCACCGTTCTCGCAGCTCCTGCATTTGCGCAGCGGATGAGCACGCCGCCAGCAGGCAGCATTAGCTTAATGCAAGTATGCGTCACCGGTCGGGGATGCGGTGCGCGCGACGGCCAAAGCGGGCCGGAAAGTGGGATTGTCTACGCGACGGGGAAGGCGTTTTTCATTCACACCCAACTCCGCGGTAAGATTACCCATTTGGATTATAAAGATCTCAAATATAAACAAATAATATCCTGCAATTAGGTCCGCCACTAGGTTGCTGTCCTTGCCAACGGCTTCAGTTCGTGACATGCGCCGTTGCTTTCGGCCGCGCAACGAATCCGCGTACCGAACAACAAATTGTATTCAGCTATTGTTGGAGTGATCAACCTTGAAAAGAAAATGTTTTTTTATTTTTCGGTGAATTCATTTCATGCAACGTCAGAGCAGAAGTAACGCTGCGGTAATTTGACGAGCTTACATATGTTTACGGTACATGGTTACAGGACGTTTCTATGGGTTACAATGTTTTTCGTAATGAGAGATTACTGAATACTGTACAGGACGCTTACAGTTATATCCGAAGCTTGCAATGCACTCCGGGCTTACTAACTACGCGAATTATTGAACTGAATCAACGGCCAATCGTCCAGACGAGTGGTAGCAAGCCTAGGATCTCCTGGCCGTCATTTGCTTCTGTCATATGGATTAGGCTGGCAATACCAGCGGAAGGCCCTGAGGGTGGCAGGCGGCATTGACCTTCATGACAACGTGGACGTACAGCGGCATGACAAGGATACATCCACGATTATGCTAAAGCTTCTGACCGCCTTTGCTACGTAACTGCCACCGACGAATCTGGGTTTTGACTTTTTTGTAAGCAGCATAGCGTGATAGGTTAAATGCTCAAGGTCGGGCTGTTTGTCTCCTCGTGTCAAATTCTCACAGTTTCTACGTCGCTTATGCCCGCGTCCAATATTAAAGGTGTAACCGGTTGCTTTCCTGCTGTGCAATCTTGGTTAATGGCCCAACCGGTCGTGTAATGCAGCTCCTTCCGTTCGCGTGCTGTTTTGGCCGAAGAGCGAGCGATAACGCTAGCAGACAGTGTAGCAAGAACTTTAAAAATGGCTCAAGACCCAGCGCCAGCACCAGCACAACGGTTTCAAAGGCCAAAGGGCGCCAGTTTGCCGTCCGAATCGACGTCCCTTGGGAATTGAGCTTGGGAAGTCCACTTCCACCACAGCTAGCTAACAATAACAGCCCTGTAGCCGTCCTCGCTTTAAGCCACTTCGCCGCCGTTAATGCGCCGGACGATTACACGCTCGCCTCGTCGATCGAATGCGTCTTCATCAATGGCGCAGTCCATCGCATCCTGGGCCCAGCAACACCACAGGCATACCAACGGCTCATCTTCTCGAAGCTTCTTAGCGCGGAACCAATTTTGCTGCTAGAGTTGCGCGATACGGTCCACAGTCTCCTGGAGCCCTTATGCCACACGCCACTACTGCCAGTCGCGAGTGTCGCTACTGCGAGTATCCATCGCGCTAGGTTTGGATCCGACGAGCCTCCGTTGTCCGGCACCCAGCCGGCTACCCCGCAGCGGCGGGGACCCCGTCAGAGCCCGGACCACAGACCCCTTACCTCTGGCGCCGTCAGCCCCTCTCAGGGCCGCGCCTCCCGCCACGGCGGCACTGGTGGTCGGGTTAGCGTCAGCGCTGGCAGCGCCACCTCCGGCGACGGTGGAAGTAACGAAATCGATGGCAGCGGCGGCCACGGTGTCAGCGAGCCTGACGGTGCGTGCGGCATCGCTGGCGCTGCCTCCACGGCCTCTGGGATGGTCGTGGACCTTGGCATCGAGGGGCTTCGATTGCACCCCTGCTGGGTGTACGATGAGAGTGTCGTTTCAACACCAGGTGGTGGTGGCGGCGGAGGTGGTGACGGCAGCAATACGGGAATCCGCCGCCGTCGGCCGGGTGTAGTCATATGGCACCGACAGCCCCTAGAGGGAGGGTACTGCCGATCTATGGCGCTACGCAGCCTGGGTCTGTTATCGCATCTGGACGCAGCCGTCACGCTTATCGCCTGCTCCGGGCGCGTTGTATTTCAGAACACGGCTTCCCACCGCTACCACGGCTGCCTAACCAAAGCTCGAGGTGGCGGTGGCGGTGACGACACGACAGCGGACGACGCCTATGCTATGGCACCAACCGAAGCTCGGGGCGCTGACGGCGCTGCCGCATGTGCGCCACTGCGCCGTGCAGCGACACATCTCGAGGTGAAGGGAACCTGGGCCGGAGACCGCAAGTCAATGCTTCTCGGCCTCCGGACATCGGGCGTACTGCTGCGGGTTTTCAGTTGCGATCTGCCGCACCTAGTGGACGATATGCTCGCTACCTGGGAGTCAGGACGCACCTGGAAGCGCCTGCTGCACGTGCCGCCGCCGGTGCAGGTGTACGGTGATTCGTACAGTTTGCATCCGCAATTGCAGCCGCAGCCACAGGCACAGCCACCTCCACAGCCACAGCCACAGCCACAGCCGCCGACGGCGACGGCGACGGCGGAAGTGGCGGAGTTGTCGGATGTTCGCCGAGCCGATGTAGAGGCATGCTGCGACGGCAGGGGCAGCCAAGTCAGGCTGGCACCGAAGGACAGAGGGCTGAGAGACCCGGGTTCGACGGCTGGAGGTGGGCCTGCATTAGGGCGATTGCAATGGCCGGGCAGCCACGAAGGCAGCCACATCGTTTTGGCGTGGACACCACCATTACCGCCGCTGGACGGGGATGCTGCGGACTTCTGGCAGCTCCGGGCACCGTCACTGTCCCCGTCGGTAGCACCGTCGCTGTCTCCATGCACGCAGGAGGCGACAGCTGTGGCGGCGGTGGCGGCGACAGCATGCCCGCATCAGTCGTTGCCGCTGTCACGACCACCACCACCACCACAGCAGCAGCAGCAGCAGCAGCAGCAGCAGCAGGTGCTGCAGCCGCTGAAGCGGCAACAGCAGAAGCAGCTGCAGCCGACTTGCCTGCCCTCCAGCCACCTGAGCGGCTTGACCTCTGCAGCTGCAACATTGGGCCCCGGCGCGTCCTCCTGTACGGCACTGGCATCCGGCGCGCTCTCCTCTGTTGTTGGGCAGAGCAGTCTCGTGTTGGTGGACGGAAGCTGTTTGGACAGCCAGCCACAGCCGCCGCCGTCACCCATTCTGACGCTGGGCCTTAGCCTTGCCGAACCGACTTGCAACAGCAGCTCGCGCTTCGCAACTGAGGCGGCAGCAGCAGCTGAAGGCCCCTTGCCGCCGCCACCACAGCCACTGATGCCGCCGCCGCGAGTCACCGACGGGGTACCGTCGCTACCGTGGCTTGCGCGGCGTGCCGTACCGCGCCTTTTGGCGGCTGCGACGCCAGCGCATACGGAGGAGATCGTCCAGTGTTCAAGTTCTTTGGATGTGGGGCTGGTACGGTCCTTTCTGTACACCAGGTCGCGTCCTTCCCGTACCGGCATGTCGAGCTGCGGCGGCGGCATCACGGCAACCACCAGCCTTGCACTGTCGGGCCCTGCGATTGCCGCCACAGACGGTGGCGCCGCATCATCCACGGGTGTTGGCATATACGGTGGCTGCGGTAGCGGTGGTGGCGGCAGCAGAATCATCAGCGCTGCGGGTAACGGCAGCTTCTTGCGTATGGGCAGCGGCGGAGATGCGGGTCAGGTACGGCAGGTGTAGCGCGGCGCAGGTGCAACCCAAGATTCGGGTACCCTGTCCTAGCGCCCATAATCTTGTCCAGCTTGTGCTATGCCCAGCAGTGCGAATCCTTTCTCCGGCCCACCTAAGTCCCGCGGTGCCGTCTTTAATGTTCGGCATGCGTTTATTTTTGCATGCAGACGCCCAATGAGACCCGCGGGTCGGTAGTATTGGAGGACGATCCGTTGCAGTTGTCCGCCTGGCGGGCGGCTCTCAAGGTCAGCACCTCGAGGCGGACGTTGGAGGGGACGTACGGCAACGTACGGCGCCCGCCACCACGGCAGGCGTCTGCCGCTGCTGGATCAGCACTAGCGACGTCACAAACAGCTGCAACAACATCTGCAGCAGCAGGCGGCCTGGCATCAGCTGGCTCTACGTAAGTGTGCTGCTCGGTGCGCTGCATTACCTGGCTCGGGGCCGTGACCGGGGCCATGGCCGGGAGCGTCGTGCGCTGTGTGGACCTGCTAAGTTCCCATTTCGTTCCTGCCCCGCTCGCCACTCCACCGCATGCATTGAATGGGAAGTCCGTGAAGATAGTTCTTAGTGCTCCATGCTCAGTGCAGACCCCGTCGTACCCCGTACACCTGCGCCATCACGTGAGCACATCGAAGTACATATAATAATTACGGACAAGCAAATGTACTGTCTTTGTCTTCCTCACAGCGCCGTTCTCAGAAATGATGTCCCACTCCTGGGGTGGGATTTGGTGCAGGTGTAGGTCGCCTCACCTTGCTTTGCGCGTTCCGGCGTCCGCCAGCTTCCGCGGCGTCGCAAGCCTCGGCGCGTCCACAGACGACGAGACCCACACTGTGACTTGCCCCGCGAACGCTATTTGCGGCCCCGGCGCCTCTTTCGCCAGCGGTGTGGGGACTGCTGCTGCCGCCGCTGTCCTTCCGCCCCTTGCTCCTGGGTGCAGCAGGCTCAGGGGTCTGTCGCTGTGGGGGATCGGGCGCAGCAACAGCAGCAGGAGCTGGGAACAAGATGGCGCTGGGCAGCCTCAGCGTTCCGGCACGACAGCTGGTATTGTCACCATCGGGCCCTTCGCGAGCCCTGCAAGCGACCTGCCGCGAGGATTCCTTGCACATGTCGACGGCAGCGGCAGCGGCGGCGGCTGCACCCGCAGTATTGGCAGTGTCGGCGGTAGTGCCGCCCGGGACCCCGGCGGGACCTGCAGCAACAAGGGGGCAAAGCGCAGCAGTCTCGAGCTGGCCATTACGCTTGCAGCGTCTGCTGGGGGGAAATCCTTCAGCGTAGGCGGCCTCAGGCATGGCCCGCCGCCGCGGCCGCCACCGCCGCTGTCAGCAACGCCAGTGGACGGTCGTACACGTGATTTTGTACAAGGGCAAGAGTCCGTTGACAGCGCGTCCGGAATGGCTTCCCATCCGCTATCAACTCTTAGCAGCAGCGGCGGAGGCGAAGGCGGCGGAGGCGGGGGTGGAGGTGGAGGCGACTGTAGGGCAGCACAATTGGCTGGAACGCGGAAGCTGGACACCGCGGCAGCGGAGGCAGCGCCCCCGGCGACAGCTACGGCTGCGGCTGCGGACGGGGTGGCTGCGGCTGCGGCGGCCAAAACTGAGACAGCGGCAGGGTCTATTATGGACTTGCCGGCAGTAGCGTTTGAATCGGCAGCGCCGGTCTCGGGTGTCAATGCCGCGAATGACACCTGGGATACCGCTGAGGACTGTTCCGGGTACTCAGATGTCCGGGCCTCGTTATTAGCGGGCCTGCAGCTTGCTTTGGCGTCATCGCTCGCGCCATCGCCGCAGGCAGCGCCGCCGCCAGTGATGAATTGCGCTGCACGTGCAATGGCGGCAGTAGCAGAAGCGACGGCGCACAGGGATGAACCGGGTGCAGGATCGGTGACACGTGACGAGACCGCCAACGCCCCCGCCAGTATTAGCTGTAATGCCGTACAAGTTGCCGTTCCAGATAATCTGTTTGTTAGCCCAGTTGGTAGAAATGACGGGGGCGGTCGATCAATGTCTCGCGTCGGCGCCGCTGGCGATGAGCGCGATAGCTTGGGGCCCCCAATTTCTAAGTTGCTCGGAGATGTGAATGCGGAAGAAGATTTTGCACAGCACACCAAGTATGCTGATTGTTTGCATCATGCATGTGACCTGCACGTCGCCCGGCTGCTTGACGTCGGCGGCGTGCCATTCCAGCCGCCACTGTCCCTGCCGCCGGGCGCCGCATCGCCATCACCAGCCCTGCCGTCGGCGCAATCTCCACCGTCGCCGTCGCCGTCGCGGCCTCTGAACGTCTCAGCGACCGCCACCTGGCAGGAGCGCCCACGTTTGCAGAGTGCGCCCATGGAAGTGCCGGCGGCGGCGGTGCCAGTGGCGCCGCCGTGTGACGTACCACCCCAATGTGGACATCAGCTGCTGGCGGCGCAACTGCCTCCAGGACGTGGAACGGAATCCGGATTGAGATGTGGATGTGGACCCGGATCAAGCTCGGAAGATGTCCGGGCGCCCCCGCCACCACCACCACCACCACCACCACCACCACCACCACCAAGGGGCAGCGCCCTGACAGACGTGCCGGAAGCTGACCAGGCCTCTACCACCACCGACCTATATCTGGTACTCGTGAGACCGCCATCACCGCCACCAACATCGCAGCCGCAGCTGCAACAACAACCGCGACAGCAACGACAGCAGCAGCAGCAGCAGCAGCAACCGCACGGCCGAGTTGGGCGGCCGACAGAGCGGCCCCGCCGTCCAGCGGTGTCAGCGCCGCTTCCGGAAGCGTCTCCGGCCCCGGCCGAGGCGCTAAGCGGTTCATCGTGTTGCCCGGACGAGCAGAACCTACGTTGGCACGAGGTGACGGCGTCGCCATTTCCCGACCCGGTGACCGGGCAGCAATTGCTGCTGCTTGTACAGGTAGGTGTGCCGGGTGGCCGTAGGACTGGGCGAAGTCCTGGGTCCTGGGGTTGGTGGCACGAAATGGGCCATGTGAATAAATGGCCCGGGCGAAACAAGAGGGATGGCGGATGGTTGATGTGCGGCAACCTTGCGTAGCGAGGTCGGTCGGCGTGGAGGGATTTACATGTAAAATACATACATACATATATAGAGAAGCACGTACATACGATTTTACTCATGCCGCTACCACATCCGCTAAATCACACACGCCGAACACTTTTGAAATCCAATCCGATCCAACCTGGACCCACAAACTGCCGCGGCCTACAGGCTGACGTCACCTCCCGAGTTGAGGCTGAGCGGAAGCTGGTGGAGCTCACTGCGGCTCAGACGGGCATGTTGGAACAAATGTTTCCTCGCCATGTGTTGGAGTTTGTGGCGCGCCATGGTGAGGTGAGCGGGGAGAGGCGAGCCACTTGAGCCACTCGGAGAAGATGAGTGGCGGCAATTCGGAGCTTGTAGTCGGTCAGCCCGCCAGCCTGAATACGTCCGCCTGCTGTCATCCGCCCCAGAACCCACACACATATGCACACACATATGCACACACATATGCACACACATATGCACACACATATGCACACACATATGCACATACATGTATGCATACATACATACATGCATACATACATACATGCATACACACATACGGTTCCAGAGTCGGCCCATAACGGAACGTGCACTACCCTGGGAATCCTGAGACGATAGCGCACACTGAGTAGCAGTACAGCTCACCTTCAACAGCAACTCTCAGGCCAACAGCGAGAAGCGACTGAAAACAAGACACACGACCCCAAGGCACCCAGTAAGTAAAACAACACTGATGAGGCAAAAAAACTTAACTATATATGTACATATGAAACAAAGCTTCATGTAATTTGTAATGTTACAGAGTGGGAGGCTTCTGGGCCGCTTTATCACATTGTCAGTTCTAGATCATTTATCACCTTAGCACCATCCACCACTACCACACTGTACTTCGCCATACGAACTGTAAGTCCAAGGCGGCGGATCCAGCCTTCAGGGTCCCCTCCTCATCCATTCACCCGAACACCCGAAGAGACGAAGGGTTCGGCAATCGCCACCAATCCAGCGTGCGAATCTGGTCCATCAACTGTGACCTCAACTCCACATCTCAGCAGCTAGCCATAATCTCGCGCTCCCGACTAATTCGGGGGTCTCCCCAGGAATCGAACCCAGGACCTTAAACCGCTAATTGCAGTAGTGTCAACCCAGACCAGACCAGACCAGAAACAAAGCTTCATGTGGAGTCTCACACAAGAGGACGCTCCGAATAACACGAAGGATGGGGTGTCTAGGGCTCACGCCTTAGCATCTTTTTGGAGGCAAACCCTGGGTGGCAAAGCTCCTCAGGCGCACTGGTTACAGTGACCTGCGAGTCGGACACGAGTGCGGTTGGTGTCGCTGTTGGACTGGCAGATCATCCTGGACGCTGATGTTAGGGGGTGCTGAACCCGAAAAGAAGGGAATGAGGGTGATGAGGGTGATGAGGGTGATGAGGGTGAATGAGGGTGCTTTGAAACATCGGGGATAGTGCAGCTTTACCCTCTTACTTTACACAATCTCATAGATATGCACACACGCACACCACAGGCACACGTGGAAGGCCGCCTGCACCTGCCACACCGTCAATTTTCCGTCTCACCTTGTCGTGCCGTTGTCACATGCTCTGCGACAGGCGATTGGTGGCATGGACTTCTCCGCCAACGTTGAAGCTTTTGCCACAAGCCATGACCTGGCTACAGTCCTGTTTACCGGTGTGTTCTAATATTCTGAGCCGCGATGAGGGAAATGTCCGTGGTGATACACGAAGAACTTGACCAAAGCGAGCTCCGTAGTCCAGCGGCGTTTAGAGCATAACAGCCTTTTCGTATCATAAGCTAGCGGACAAAGCAGGAGTTCATGCTACCACATCGCGTGCGACGCGATAACAAGCAGGGTGCCCGGCATAATAACCCTTCCCGTGAAAGCAGAAGGTTGACTGACCGTTAGGAGGGAAAAAAACAAAGAATGTCGGCGGAGCCGCCGCCCCAGCAGCAGCAGCGGTAGCTAGTAGGTCGTCTTCGGAAGATGTGCGCGTGCGCGGGAGCGACAGCATCCCTAGTCACTTTTATCCTCACCCCAAATGCCTTTGCATCTTCTCCTCGTCCGCCTTTGCCCACATGATGGACGCGCTCATGCGGCTACTGCTGCTGCTGTTGTTGCTTGTGCTGCTGCTGGCGCTGCTACCCCGGCTGGTTCTGCTCTGTTGCGACTGCAATGGTACCGGGGCCATGAACTGAACACTATCGGATGCTGCTATTGCCGCGGATGCCGCTGCTCCCATTGCTTTATCAACAACCATCAACAACCGATCCACGACGGGCTATATGGCCTCAGATGTGAGTACGGTCGGGAAAAAATAGGTGAAATGGTGAAAAACTTTGGAGGTACTCAATTTCCTACGCTATTCACGTCGAAGGAGGCTGTCGTACGGCATGTGTTTCGTTGCTTCCTCCGTTGCCGTCCTCGTCTCCGTCGCACACATGCAAAGTGGTCCACCGCACCTGACACGACCGCACCTGGCTCCCTGTCCCTGCCCTTTTCGCCCACAATGCTCACCCATCCTACAACCGCTCCCGCGCTGCGGATGGCATCTGACGGTCCGGTCCGTCGATGCGTTGATCCTTGGCCTCTTCAAACTTCGAATCCGACGGTTGGCATTCACCTCTAAATGTTTGGCGCTCGACGTTCAACGGTGAACACCACCATCATGTGCTCGGCGGTGTGACACTGGGGCATCGGGGCTGCGATGGTGGTCGCTCTTATACAACACGCACACACACACGCATGGGTGCGCCTTGGACAAAACCTTGCCATGTTGCATGACGGACTGGCCGCTGGAACATCACAGATTGTGGGCTTCACGGTAGGTCCACTCAGCGCCACCTCCGATCGATCGCGTTGCTAAGCTTCAATGGCCAGGAAAGGAAAGGAGAAAACATGTTGTGGCCGGCGATGGATTGCTGCTGTCGCACCAACAGAACCAGGGAGGGATGTGGGGGATACCAGCCGCTGTTCCGAGCGCTGCTTGAGATTTCCTGCTCGCCGATGTGCAAGTCGGTGCATTTCGACATTGGTGTCGGGTGTCGAGTGTCGGGTGGGAGGAAGCTCACCAATATGCATCGCAGCGACCGGGCTCGAGGCCCTTGCGTTATTACCTCCATCCCCTCCCTCGTCCTAAAACTTCACAACTCCAAGGTGTTGAACCCTCCGGCCGCCGCACAGCATTCCGCACTCCAGGCCCCCTCCCGCCACACACAACGAACCCTGACTTGCTGCCTTGTGGCACCTGCCCTCCGCCCATTCCCCGGCCGCGGCGCCCCAGACCATGAGCAAGATGGTCCCCGCGGCGGCTGTGATGGCCTTCCTCAGCGAGCTTTACTCCAAATTGGACGCACTTGTGGATCAGTACGGCGTTTGGAAGGTACGTAGTACGGCATGTTTGTCGCAAAGGTTAGGAAGTTTTACCCTAGCCCTTCCCCTCACTCGATTTCCGTCTTAGGCTGATGTTAAATCTCCGCCTGCACGTACCTGGTGTACGTCCCCCCGCGTATGCGCAGGTAGAGACCGCGGGCGATTGCTACATCGTGGCGGCTGGCGTTGTACGGCAGGATGCAGACGGCTTCCAGAGCGTGGTGGCTTCAGAGCAACGCCCCACCAGCCCCCACCAACCCCATCACCAGAATGCTTCGAAACCCTCTGACACCGCCACTCATTTACCGCTTCCAGCGGACGGTGGTGCCGTCATGCCCAACTGCCACGACCTCCCCCATTTGCCGCAGCCTCCACCACCGCAGCCACCGTCTGTGGTGGCGTATCCGCAGCAGCAGCAGCAGCAGCAGCCGAACACGGAGATCCGTCCGTGGCTTGGTCGTGGCTCGGCGGCTGCATCGGCACCGCAGTGCCCGCAGGTCTTCAGCGGTGTCCACCACCTGCCGTCGCCAAAGCCCTCCGACCCTGAAGCGTCCAACGCGGGGCAGCGTCAAGTCGAGCATCCCGACAGCGGCGCTGGCGTCGGCGGAGCGACAACTAGGGTGGCAGCTGATGCTGCTGCTGCTGCTACGCCGGTGGATAATGATGTGCCATCGGCAGAGGCGCGGCGCGACGCGGAAGCAGTGTTTCGCTTCGCGTTGGCGATGTTGGAGGCGGCGCGTGAGGTGCGGATGCCGCACAACGGAGAGCCCGTCCAACTGCGAGTGGGCATTCACAGTGGTCCTCTGGTGGGTCCTGGCTGGGGTTGTGGGGCGTCAGCTTACGGGACTTCTGGGGGAGTGGTTGCATGGCTGGGTAGCTGGGCGAATGGCGAAGAGGACAAGGAAGCGTAGAAACTACAGGACCGGAGGCAAGGGCATCAACAGATCAAGGGCCTTAGGCTTTAACCCCGAGTAGTCGCCACCCGCCACCCTTCCATGGCCGCTCATCAGTAAGTTGTACGGGCCCGCCGAAACCATGCGCGTACACCCTCTACCTCCTGCCGCATTCCTCCTTGACCGTTCCAACATAATCAACCGTTTTCGCAGTGATCACACTATTCTCTCTTCGCGTACCCTCCCTTGCCCTGCCCGTAGGTCAGCGGCGTAATCGGCACGAAGATGCCTAAGTTCGCCCTCTTTGGTGATACCATGAACACGGCCAGTCGCATGGAGTCCACCTGCAAGCCGGGTAGGGTGTCGAGGTTGTGGAGTGAGAGAGGTTGGGAAGGGTGCGCGGCAGTTGTGGGCGCTGTGGGCGGAATGAAGGACCGCGAGAGACCCTGGGAACTCCTGAATATGCTTGGTCAGCAAGGGCATCCGATGCGGATTGATCTACTACGACATCATTACTCGAACCGTCCTCCCGCAACGCCGGCCTTCTGTCGGCCTGCCTGTCGGGCCGTAAATGGCCGCCCGACCCTACGGTGATATGAGACGTAAAGCATAGACACGGGCTAGAGAGCTAAGGCACATAACAAACCTCATCGTCACATGCACACATTCTGAAATCTCACTGAGGCAGGTGGCATGTCCTCCAGCCCGCTCGACTGCCATTCGGTACGAAACTCGAGACGATTGCAACTGCAAAGCCGGGCTCCGCCACAGGTTTGTCCTGCATCCAAAAGCTTGGCGCCCCTCCCTAAAAACCGCTCGCCCACACACCCATTTGCCTCCAAAACCCGAATCGTTCGCCTCCCATGCCATTCCCTCCCCCCGGATGATCGCGCGATTCATTTGGTTGTGCGTGCGACAGACTGCATCCAGGTTTCTGCACCTACTCGCGCCCTGCTACCACACGTGCCGCTGCAGCCTACGGGAGGCGTACTGATCAAAGGTACGGCAGTTAGCTGGGGCAATGCTCTCCGCCGAGATCTCGCATCCCGAACTCATTCCCATGCATCGTGCATCTTCCCGTAACTACCGGCTGTCAATTTCTCTCCGGTTCTCCCGACCCGTAGTAGCTGATTGGATTGCCACCCTCACACGATGGCCACCCTCACGGCCCACAGGCAAAGGTGTCATGGAGACCTACATATATGAACCGAATTCTAGAGTGACTGCTCCTGCAACTGCGGTTGCTACAGCCTCAGCACAAGCCGCTACTGCAACCGTCCCAACAGCTGCGACAGCAACGACAGGAACCGTCACAATCGCTTCTGCTTCTGCTGCTTCTGCTGCTTCTGCTGCTTCTGCTATTGCTTCTGCTATTGGTACTACTACTGCTACTGCTACTACTACTACTGCCACTAGCGTGACCGTTTCCATTGCTCCGTCCGCCTGAAGAGCTCAACATGGCTACAGCCTCTGCTAGCTCCCTGGCGCAGGTCGACACAGACAACTAAAGGGGCCTGTAGTGAGGCCAGTCGTGAGCTCGTGACGCCCCCGCGCAAAAACAGCTCAAGACTCCTTTGCCAGCATAATATGTGAACCGGGGCGAAGTCAGGGCCTTGGGACAAAGAGGGATAACAGTAGCCGGGCTGTTGATGCGCTATGGTGCCATTTGTGTCCTGAAAAGCAACAAAACGCTAATGGCTTCGGTGGTAACCCGGGTTGATATTGGAAATGCCGTTGCCAACCTGTCGTTCCCAAGACCCTACCTCTGTCAGCGGCTATCGAAGCTACCAGCTGGATCAGAACGCATTAGTTGTAGCTGCATTGCTGCCTGCGGGTGGTAACCTTTTGCCCGACCCGGAGAGGCCTAGCGAGGACAAGGGTAGTGAACAGGTTTGGGCACCACTTGGGCTCCTCCTGCCGTTGGGTATGACCACATTGGTAATGTCCGCGTATTACACCTCAAGTTGCGTTGCGCTCCGAAGGCATAACGGGTCCATACGAAGCGGAGGCCCAAGGGCAAGTCTAGGGTTGTCCAAAACGCAGAACAAATCTAAAGACTAATGGAAGGGTCCCGGGTAACCCCACTGGTGGGCTCACTTTTCCGCACAAACGTCCTCACGTGACGGTGGAAGCATGGTTGATCTTGGCCTTGCCTCAGTACCCATATTTCGGAATGCTTTGGTTTGAGGTGGGTGGGCAATGTACCGATAATAATGGCCAAGTCCTTAGGAACCATACGGCTGGCCACCACTGTGCTTAGCATTGCCGTCCAGCATGGCGATGGGTCCCCAGAGGGAAGATGTAGTTCGGGCAAAGCGCGCTTTGACGTGGCCTACTGGCGGACGTAGGCGCACTGCTTCGCCGACGATTCCCCAACCCTCCTGGCACTTTAGCTTGTGGATTCATTGGGAGCACGAGGGCAGTGGATCGCTTAGGTTCAGTGCTATCAACGATGGTGTTAAGAGGCTTTGGGCAAGCCCGCGCAGGACATTTGGCAGGGTGCAAGGCACTTTCTGGCGGGATGGAGAGAGTGAAATTCCACGTCAGGAAATGGTAGCCGCACGGGCGCATGTGAGCGATGGGTCTAGAACTGGCCCTGCTTGGGAGCGTTTCCGCGGGACCCGTCGGCTCTACAACAGGGCAAAGCGGAAAGCCAGGGGCGCCCTACGATCTGGCCGTTGTTTGCGACGCGCCATGCAGAAGTGTCGGATCGCGACCCGAAGGTGGTATGAGGCACAGCCAGGAGGGACCACGAAGGCTCGCTGCTCCATTAAAGACAGTATGGGTTGAAAAATGCAAATTGAGAGGTTACTAAATGATGCTTCCGGTCAGCCTCTGCTCAGAGGATCCTTAGCTACGTCAACGGCTGTGATGCGACTGGTGATGGCCCCGCGCTAGATTCGGGTGTCGGGATCTGGAGGGATTTGCAATCTGTGAATCCTAGAAGGGAAGGGCTTGCCGAAGTGGTCCATGCGCCGTTCACCCTAGATTAGGTTCTGCAGGCAGTGAAGAACCCCCCAACGGGGAGGCCATAGGATGCGAGGTATATTCCAGCTAGCGCCTGTCCTACATATACCCTTTTTGCGCACATCAGGACAACGGGTGCCTTTCCTGAGCCTCTCTGAGCAGTTGGGTGGCAACAACGCTGCTATTGCCCATATGGGCAGTTACCGAGGCATAGTGGTTGGTGGAGCGTTGGCTCAACGCTATGTTTCTATTATCCTCCGATGGTTGGTCCAGGCAGGACAGGACCTTGAGCTCGAAACAAAAGGCATCGGGCGCAGGTTGCTTTCACGGTAGGCTTTGGCACCATGCACCATCTTTTCGTGAAGCGGCACCTCACGCAGGTGCGTTGCCAAACGCGGGGCTCGCCCGCTTTTTATTTGTTGTCCAGATAGACTTTGACGAAGCCACGAGAGTTGCTTTGGCTGAGGTTAGTGGCGAGAGGTTTTCATGGCTTCTTATGCCCTTTTCGTGCTCAGCAAATTCCAAGCTTACTAAAGTTTCCAAGGCGCTGCCCACTCCGCCACAGGGGCCACCTGTCCTGTGGAAGGCAGCGAGGGGGAAGAGAGCGACACCTTGCAGTTCATGTTCTTTCCCCACGAATAGAAAACGCATTAGACGTTCCCATGAGTCGTTGTGCCTCGTTGATGTGCATTGATTTACAACCTTCGTAATGCGTATTGCGTTTTTCAAGTGCTGTATTGCATTTTTTGTGCCGCGCGAGTGAAGTGGGGATTACGGGGATGGCGGTGCACGCACGCACGCCAATATGCTTCACCACAACACCCCTCAGATGAACTAACGCATGCACAGCCAACACGTGCACAAAGCCCAAGATGTCATTCGGCCGTCGGGGACGATAATGCGAGTAGCGCTGCAGGCGGCAATACTACAGAGAGGAGAGAGCAATGCCCAGGATTGAGGAAGCACTGCGCAGCATTGCACAGCACCACACATCACTACCCACGGGCTAGCATCACCATCTCCATCACCACTGCCGTCTTCAGCCAGCCCCCACGCAAGCCAGGCGCATTGCGATGATGCCTTGCGGCCTTTGAGGAAAAGGAACGTGGGGCTGTTACTGCACACCGCCAAGTGGTGTAGATTGGGGATGTAGCCCAGCTGGGCTGCCCAAATAATTTTTATGTTGTGGGTTAAATACTCCACGCGCTCTTTCTTGTGTGTTGTTGCGGACTTGTGGAGGAGAGTAGGATGTACTGCGAAGGAGCTGTTTATGTTAGGAACTGTGTCGTTGAAGGCGGAGCGTCAAGGCCCTGCCGCGTGCGGCAATATATATTCATATATTCACCTGCTAAGACCACCTGGTGGAGCCACTGGGACCTTTTTGGTTTTATTTGACATTGAAATTTGCTTGCCCTTATTTTCGATGCGATCAAGGAAGGAGGAGGAAAGGACGGGCGGTGCCTTGGCAGCAGCAGCGTGGCAAAGCTACAGACATTACAACAGAGGGGAGGGGACGACTTGCAAGGTGAAGGGCAGTACCACTGTCTTGGAACCTTGTGATATGAGGGGTTTTCAAGTCTGGCGTTGAAGAGTTTTGATGCTATGTGACCTGTGTGTGTCGACCTTGTCGTTTTTAACATATCCTTTGTGCTACAGTTCGGGCCATCATTTTCGCTGCAAACGATTGATTTCGAACTATTGTATCTATCTAGAGTACACTCGTCGTCCGCCTCCAAATGGGTATTACTTGCGTGCGCTAGGGTGCTCCGTTTGTTTCGAGCATGTAAGCCAGGATGAAAACAGAAAACGTCATATAGCTCCGTTCACCAGAGCAACAGCAGCGGACGATTTAAACGGTCACACGTGATATGCGGTAAGTCCGCCACGCGCACCAATGGGGAGTGGTTACCGCATCCACGTTTTCTCCTACCCTAGATGACCTCTAGATATATAGCCCGCCTTCCTGTGTGCGCGACTGCCCGCCATGCCTGCCTAGATTACAACTCCCCCCATGCCTGGCCGTACACAGCGTGGCAGCTTTACCTCAGCCACGACCAGACAAGGTGCTACAATAGCGGTAACAGTGCCAAGATCAGCAGTACCTATCCCCTGAGCAGTACCAATCTTGAGACGAGACAACACTGGTTCACAGGGAGCGGTGTCACGGTGGAGGGGCTAGATGCACCAGCACGTGCCGAGGCCAAGCAAAATCCTACACGATCGATAACTAAAAGCAAAACAAAACACCAGACAATATAGCAGAATCACCTCGCTGTACTCATTACCAGCAGTTACGAGCACCTACCAAAGCCCACGCCAGATTATACGACGCCGGTCCAGCAGAGGGTCCCCCATGGGCAGCCGCCCCACATCTATACGTGCACCCACCCCCAGCAAGCCACCAAGTTCCTTTCTCTCAGGGAGCCATTCGCTTCAATTTCCTTCGAGTCAGTCGTACTGCTTTCCTTACAGCAACACCACCGAGCTTACCACCTTCCCCCTCATGGTCCCCTCCGCCCCAGTGAAAGGCAAGGAACATCTATACATGTATCCATCCGCGCCCCGAGCTGCCACCATAAATCTATCCAACCTGACACATCCAGAAGAGTGGATCTGTGGTTTCTATTCAGCAAGATAACAGTACTACCACTACTACTACTACCTGTTCCGCGCTCCTTTTCCGCCGCGCTCACGCAGCCAGTCCATGAGCTTGTTCAGCCCCATGCATGTGTACTCGGCGGCGAAGGCGACAGCTCCCATTCCCACCAACAGGCCAAATAGCTCCCACCTGAAAGCAATGGTGGGAATGAGAAGAATGAGGAGGAAGGGTTTGAGCAGGACGAGGAGGTCAGAGAGGTGTATATGCGGATACATGGGTATATGAGGCTAAGGGAAGGGCGCGAACGGATGGCAGGGATGTAGAGGCGCATCAAACAACCACTTGACTACCACTCCTTACCCACCTAAACGCCATGTTCACAACTCCGTTCATGTCCACCATGTCCTGCACGTCCCGGTTGAACTTGTCTGCCACGAACAGCGTGTACAAGACAAAGGCGGTCTGCGAGGGAGGGAGTGACGGGAAATCAGCGGCTCAGCAGCAGGTGCCGTGGTGGTGGTTGCGGGACGACGAGGTACACCGCCTGCCGGCAGCCTGCCAGCAGCCTGCCAGCCGCAAACCGAACCCGTTCCGAGTCCCCGCCCTCATGCCATCGGCCTCCAAGAGACCCCCCCACCCGTAAGCCGCCGTGCCGTGGAGCGTCCTTTGCCTCGTCGCACGCCAACCTTTAACTCCCCAACACTACACTTAGGAAATCTATCGGAGCGTATCCACCCTTTGCGCTAAAATGGGGATATGCCCCAACCAAAAACGGCCGCAAAATGTTGATTCATTGATTATCGAGGACGCGTCTACCCAAGAGGGTATTGCTGATACATGGCTTAGGACGTCTCCATCCACCTCATCATCAGCCTTTACCTCCTCACCTGCGCTAGGAGCGCCGCCACCAGCCAGTAGTTCGTCCAGATGGGGCTGCGGTGCGGCATCCCCTTGTTGAACACCAGCGCGGTCACCACAAACTGGGCCAGCGCCACAATGTAGGTGACCGTGTTCTCTGGGGCCTGAAAGGAGGGGCGTGCGCGCGTGTGTGTGTGGAGGTGTGTGTGTGTGGGGGGGGGGAATCATATGCAAGAAGGGAAGGATTGTCGTCTAAGCGGGGGAGCGATGCTTTGGAGGAAGGGAAAGCGATCGATAGACAGTGGAAGGGGCGAGGGTGAAGACATTCACATACAAACACTCAGTCGCCCTTCACAGCTACAACGCCGCTTAGTCCTACGGGCCCTTTAAATCAATCTTCTAACCAACATCTACTTTATAAATTAAAAGCTGTTTCGTTGGAAAATTCTAACACGTCGCTAGTGACTACAGAGCTCGCTTCGATATGAAGTTATTCGTGTGCCACCATCGACATTTCCCTCGTCGCGGCTCCGATCATTAAAGCACACGTGCACACACACGCGCACATAAACAAACCCGCGGCCGGTCCCCTCGCTTGCACAACCCACCTCGCCCCAACCCGCTCCAAGCCGCAAACAACCCCCACAGACACCCTCGAGAGTCACGACACTCACCACGGTGTCATGGAGGTCCGGCCCGCCCTTGAAGGCGATGTATCCCGGCCGGGCTTGCAGCATCCACAGACTGGCCAACTGGAACAGCACCACCACACCGCATTGCGCCACCGTGCTCAGCATCAGCGGCAGGGACATCACGCGCTGCAGAGGCCGCCGCCGGGACAACTTGCTCCTGCACGTGGAGGTAAGGGTGCGGATGTGACTGTGAGGTTGCATCGTTTGGAAAGTGCGTGGGGAACGCTAAAGCCAAAAAGCAAAGCGACAAGTAGCATTGTGGGGATTTGGGGGAGGAGGTTCTTAGACACATGGGCGCCTTGGAAGCGGAGAGCACGCACAACCCTACAACCAACCAACACCCAAATGGTACTCCTGAAGGACGCCTCACTCGCCTCTAGTAACCTAGCCTCTCTCCTCTCCTCTCCTCTCCTCTCATGGCCCCAGATGATCCCCCCAACCACGGACAACCCCCGCCATGCCCTGGCTCACCTGGGCGCCGTCATCCCCATGAGCGCAGCCAACACAGTTGTGAAGAACAGGTCCTCAATCAGGTACTGGTAATCTCCCAGATTGAGGGCATAAGTGTACATCAGGTTGGTCTCGAAAGCCTGCGCGGGGCCCAGCAAATGGAGCCGATGGAGGGAATGTATCCGAGGTGGGAAAGGGGTCGGACGGTCGGGGAGCAGGAGCAGCAGGAGCACAAACACCGGAATCGAACGCGCGACGTGCCGGAAAGAGAGCTTCGAGATGGCATGCCCTCGCAAGGAGTGGAAGTTACAGGCCAGAGGTCAGGGCAGGGGAGGTCAGGGCAGGAACCTCAAACCATGTCATCGTTGCTTCAAGGCACGGTTAAAGCTCAAACCATATTTCATTTCACAAAGGACGGCCTCTGGCCTCTTCATGACAGTTCATGTCCAAGGGACTCACCGACCGACGATACCTTCCTACCAGCCTTCCGTAGAATGGTGACAGGATTCCTCCCATATCCAAACTGCCCAACCCCCGGACGCCCTTCTCTCCCTCCCTCACCCACCCAAACCAACCTGCACTAGCGCGTACACAATAATGAACTGGAAGATCTGGTAGGTGGCCATTAAGGTACAGCGACCCTCCGCCACTACCGTGATCATGCTGGCGATGGTTTGTGCCTTGCTGGTCATGGGGGCGGCCACGGAGGCCTGCAAAGGCGAGCGGGGCGGGGAGAAGGGAGGCGGTAGAGAGGATGGGACGGGGGGAAGCCGAGGCATCAGGATGCCATGCCGCGAGGGTGACGCCGCAGAGCCGCCCACATCTGTACTCTACATGCAGGGGCTACGAGGACCGCACAAATCGAATCTGCACGAGACAGTGTTGCGTTCATAATGTCAGCCATCTTGACTGATACATGCGGATCGATTTTGGCCAGGTCACGGGCGGGACGCGGCAGCCTGGAGGCGGGACGTAAGAGGCGAGGGGCACCAGAGCCTCTGCAGCTGTCCAGGACTAGCACGATGCACGATGGACGGTTGTGGCGCAGACGGCTCCAGGCTTCAGACAGAACGGCAGCAGGGAGCAGACCAACAAACACGTGTGTGTATGTATGTGTGCGCACGCACCTCCGCCTCGCACAGCGACACGCCCACATGGGCGGCCTTCAGCGCCCCGCAGTCATTGGCGCCGTCGCCACAAAAGCCCGCTCGGAGACTCAGATGCGGACAGCCCTCCGGCGCGCCGTCGATGCCGTTGCCCAGCAACAGCATTAGATCCCGCTTGTTGTCGGGGGACATGCGTGCAAACACCGCCGCGTGTTGCAGCACCGGCAGTAGCAGCGGAACGGCTCCCTGGTGCGGTTGAGCCTGCGGCGCCGCCAGCAAACAATTAAATCCTTTGCCCGTCACCGCGCACTCCAATTCGCCTGTCACCAGCCGTGCCATGAGCTCAGAAACCATCGCCGTACAGCTGCTGCCGCCGCTGCCAACGGTGGCCGTCTCCGTGACGTTGCCGTCAACGTCCAATACGCTGAGGCGTAGGACCGCCTTCGCCACAGCGCCATCCGCTGGCGGCGTTTGCGCAGGCCGATGATGGTGCCCATTGGCATGTTGGTGAGCATCCGTCTTGCCAGAGTCCGTGGCCAACGTATCGGCCTGCTTATCGACGTCCAGCTGTATACACTGTGGAGACGCTCCAGCGCTACTCGTCAGCTCGTCAGCCGCCGACGGCGATGCCGGGGTCACCTGCCGTACGTCCCCCTCCGCCAACATGGCGGCACCCCAGCTCCCACCCGTCGCAACCGACGGGTCGCCCAGCGGCGTGGGCTCGCCTGCAGGGCCTGGGCCCGTCGGGTTACCGCCGTACGGAGCCGGCGTCCATGTACGGCGGATATCCAGCGGCGCCGCTGGCCCCGTCCCTGTCTTTGCTTCCATAGCCGCAGGGGATAGCAAAGTCCCTGTAGCTGCCGCTGCAGTGGGTACAGCAGTTGCTGCCGTTGGTGTCGTATCTGTCCGTTGTGCTCCTCGTGGTAACGGTTGGGACGGAGGTGGTTGCGGAGCCATTATGGCGTCAGCCGCGTCGACCAAAAGGATGGGTCGATGGTTGGGTAGGATGGCGCATTTGTGGGCTACGGACACGGCGGTACGCAGGTGGTCCCCCGTCACCTGAAGGTTAGAAAGGGGTTTCAAGGGGGAGAGACGAATAAAAAAAAATGTACCATGATATCTCCAAAACGAAGACATGAACACGGCGAAAGAGGAAAGAGGATGCGGGGGCTAAATGCACCACATTAAGCAGCAAGAACCGTTTTGGGGTATTCATAATGCCGAATAAGAAAATGTAATAATGGTATATGTTGCAAGATAGGAAAGGTGGAATAGTTGGAAAGTTTGATCGGTAACACCCATCCCGCCCACGTGTTGCCTACCCAGGTCGGCCCAGCTCAGCTCAGCTCAGCTCAGCTCAGCTCAGCTTAGCCCAGCCGAGCCCAGACCCACCATCACGGTTCGAATCGACGCATGTTGCAGTTGCCCAATAACATCCGACGTGTCCTCCCGCAGCGGATTGGCCATCACCGCCAGTCCCACCATCCGTAGCCCCACCCCGGCCTCTGTCTCCGCCTGCGTCCACCCAAGCAGCTGCGCCGCCGGCACGCCGCTGGCGTCACCCACGGCCAGCGCCAGCACGCGCAGCCCCTCCCGCGTCAGCTCCCCCAACAGCACATCAAAATCGGGTGGCACGGAGACGGGGTCCACCAGAGAGCGTATCGCCTCGGGAGAGCCCTTGGCGAACACGGCTACAGAGCCGTCCGGGGCGCGGACAACCACAAGGTTCCGTTGCAACGCGGCCGAGAACTCAAAGCGCTTCACGATGGCGTAGGCCTGGGGCCCCCGGGCGGGGAGAGAGCAAAGTGTATGCAAGACGTTCGGACACGTATGTAATGAAAAGGTCTGTTGGTGGTCAAACTGGTATTACGAATAGTTCTACAGTGCGGGATGGTCTCTGAATTGAAGGGGGGAGAAAGGCTGGGGAGGTTAACACACGTGGGCTGCAGCCCAGGCGGAGAGAGAGTGTGTGGGGAGGGGAGGGGAGGGAAAAGAGAATAAAACCAACAAGACACGGTAAGAAGCTTGCAACAAGGCCGAGGCAGGGAATTGGGGCAAGGGTTTGACAGCATGTGATAGGTTGTAAAGTGCTGCTCAGGACATATATACTCGGAATGTATGCCAAACCAGGTACAACGCACGCCCACACGCATCACGGAAACAGCAGCTTGCTTACCAAGGCGGCACCAGGTGGTCGTACATACGTGTGTACGCCGTCAGACGTGCCGGTGGCCTCCGCTGCATCCACCGCAGCCCTGGCGGCAGCGCCGCCATCACCCTCCTGCCCGACGGCGCCGTCCACACCGTCATCGACGCGTTCCGCTGCGGCGCCACCTCCGCTGATGCGATTCTCGCTGTCAAGCGCTACATCCGCAGAGGGTCGGTCGTCCACGAGGTCCCAGTGCGTCGCCAGAAACAGTTTCTTGTGTCCGTAAATGACACGAGACATCGAGTGAAAAAACAGAAAACGCAGAAAGGCGCAAGACACACATATATTAGAAAGCGAACGAAACAACGATAATCGTCGGCATGTGTTGTCAGGTAAAGAGACTCCTGGGGGATTATCAGGACGGAAAACAGGACGGAGACAAAGCTGGTGCGGCGGGTGTGTACTGTACCCAGTGAAAAACACTGCCAACCTCGCAAAGACATCGGAACGCCTAGATAACGAGTCGGGACAACACGGCTGTGTGTTTCCGGCGACAAGGCGGCAGAAGCGAAGAGATGCGCTGTCAGAGTGGAACATCCACCAGAACCAGAACCAGAACCGAAAAAACAATGTGCGCAAAAAGGAAGACCTTTATTTGTGGATGCGCGCGCGTCGCCCGTGAGCACCCGTGTGAGCGACACACGCCACTACCTCCGCGGCCCTAGAGGGTGCCGGCAAACATGAGCCCCCTCCCTCCCAGATCCTCTCTCTCCTCTTCCGGTGCCACGCACCTGGTCCAGCGGATCCCCCACCAGCGCCTCCCCCATCCTCGCCAGGCCGTGGCAGCTGGCCAGCAGCTCCACCAGCTGGAGCGGTAACAACGACACGCTCTGAACCATAGCGTGCAGCCGACCCTCCACAATGGGAACGATGCCCTGCAAATCTAGACCCTGCTCCGTCAGGGTGCCTGGGGCCCCGCAGGGTGCCGGGTGGCGGTTTACAGCAAGGGGGGAAGGGACGGGGGAGGGGATAGGATGGCGTTTGTGCGTATGTATGTGTGTATTAACAGGCAAGGTCTGAAGTGCGACCCACGGAAGCTTGCGTAGGTAGGACCCCCCCTACAGCTTAGCGGATTGAAGCGCCACATACCCATGCATATACACGACATTCCCCGTCAATCCCCACCTCACACCCGTCTTACAAGTCCACCCGCCCATGTATCCATGCCCTCACGCACCCGTCTTGTCAAAGCAGATGACGTCCAGCTGCCCTGCCAGCGTGATGCGGTCGGGACTGGTCACGTAGATGCCCTTCTTGCGCAGACGGCCGATGGAGAGGACGGTGGCGATGGTGAGGCAAGCGGGCAGCGCAGGAGGCACCGCAATGGTGATCATATCGAAGAAACGCACCTGTCCCGGGTTGAGGGGGTGAGGTGGGGGGAAACGGCGATAAGATTGCAGACTAAGAAGCCAAAGCCCAGACGGTGCTATCCAGTGGCGTGGGAGAGATGGTGGAGGAGATGGACAGAGCCAGAGGAGTCATACGCAAAATGTCAACGAGACAAATGACAAATGACAACATCCAGAGGGGTGGGAGGAAGAAAAGGAGCGAAAAAAGGGGCAAGACGTGACATGGGCAGTGGGACAATGGGGTAAAGCGATGGGATCAGGCAAGAACATATGGGGTGCAGGTTGGACTCGGACAGGACAGGACAGATGTCCTTCTCAAGCCACAATGCCACCACGCACCACGATGCGGTCCGGCGAGGCGCCCATGTGAGCCAATACGACCGCCGCCCAGATGTACAGCGCCAGACAGAGCGTCAGCATGCCGCAAATGAACTTGAGCGAGTCGGAGATGAACGACTCCTCGTGCTCGCGAGGGAACAGGATGGATCTGCGGGTGTGGACGGGGTAAGGGAGAGAATGTCACGCCTTGCCTTCCTCATCTCACACATGCTTTAGAGGAAATAGGAGGAGCAGGACCTGGAGGAAAGAAACTACAAATTGTCAAGAAAGCCGGAACCCTAAGAGACACAACGTAGGGCGTGAACCGAGAACCAGAAAGGCAGGCAAAATGGCAAGGGAACGAGAGCTCTAAACAGCATGCGCACGGCGTTTCCTTGAACGACATGCACATGCACATACGTGTCTCTGACCGCCCCGAGGGATGGGGATGGCAACCCGTTGCATGGCAGGAAATGCTTTCCTGCATCTCAGACAGCGCAGTAAGAGGCCAATCAAGTTTAGAGAGGGTTTGAGTAGAATCGATTTCCCTCGGCGTCGCAACGTAAGCCGATGAGGAGTAAGGTCAGCGGACGTGGTGGCTTCAAGTCCTCTTATGAAGACAAACTGGGCGGGTTTTCTTGATATGAGCCGCTGGTGGGAACTGGCAGGAGGATGGCAGACGAGTAACTGGATGGGTGCACAGCACTCGTTCTGCTGGGAGCGCTGTGAACTCGCGTCAGGGGCTACCGCGTTTTTAAGTAGAGCGGTGTCTGGATGTGTGACAGCGTTTGGACTGCGGCTGAAAAGCTGCCTCTGGGCGGCAGGGGAAGGGCCGGCTACTGGAGTACGCGCAAGATCCGTCCCGTAATGCAACTGCGAAATTGACCAGCAAAGCTTCTCTTAAATAGAGACATCAGCGAGCCACACCGCATAAACCAAACTGATTTGACCCGCAAGCCACACACCACAAGAGGCAGTATATACGCTGTATACCTGTGTGCACACTTTCTAACACGCGGGTGGAGAGTGTGCTCGTGCTCACCGCAGTAGCTGGCCCTTGGCCGAGTAGAACCGTGTACGACACACCATGGCCACGGCCTTCTGATGCCGAGGAGCTCGCGCCTGTGCCACCACAGTGCCGCCAAATAGAGTGCAAGCAGGGCACTTCTCGGGCTCGTAGGAAAGTCCGTCGGCGACGGGGCTGTACGACACCTTGCGCACGGGCACCGATTCGCCTGCAAAGTGGAAAAAGCAAAGATGAGGATTGGAAGCTTGGCTTTGGGAAATGGGTAACTCCAACGTCGACTTGCTGCGGAAACGATCCGTCCATCCATCCGCCCACCCCACCCACGCCCCAGGCCACCAACATAGCCACCAGAAGCCCACTTCCTCGTACCGCGATCCACGTTCAAACCTCCACTCCAACGGATTCTACCAAGCCACACACTCACCCGTGAGCATATTTTCATCCACGATGCACTCGCCCCGCAGCAGCACCATGTCGCACGGCAGAGTGCCCGGCCCCACCACCACCAAGTCCCCGGGCACCAAGCAGCTAGAGGGCAGGCGGACCACCTGACCCGACCGGATCACGTCAACCTCGCTACGGGTGGGGGCAGAGGGATGGGGGCGTTGAAGGGACGGGGGCGTTGGAGGGTAACGCAACTCCAGAAGATGTAACACACACGCACACAAATAAATCTGCCCCTCGTCCCCTGTGCTTCGACCCTCTACCTTCTTCTCACCTGCCCAGTTTGCACTAGCCCTAGTAATGCCCTAGCGGTGGCTAGACTTCAGCTGGCCAACCCCACCATTCAAAGTGCGCAATTTCCGCGAGCCGCTTCATGTTGTTGTGCGCCTCCACTGCCGCCGAAATGATGGAGAACCAGGTGATCACGAAGATGCACACCGCGTACGAGTAGTAATTGTCCCCGACGACCCAGATCAGGATTGAAAAGTACTGCAGGGGCCCCAGGTGAGGAAGAGTGGGCGCTCATTTGGGGGGAGAGAGGAGAAGGCCTATGGTACAGCAGGCGCAGACGGCGGGAATGAGAAAAAGAAACCGCCAGCAGCAGAAACAGCAGTAAGCCCCAGTCCAGCAACCATTCAAGCGACAGCCGCGGCGGTGACTACAGGCATGTGTCGCCGCACCACCTGACACGCTTCCCGTCCGCAACCGTGTGTGATAAAACAGCGCTTTGCACTACGCGTGGTGGTGGGGGCCTGCCGTGACCTTCTCCCCCCTTCCTCCCTCCGCTTCACCGTCGTCGTTGCAAAGCTGCCAAATAAACATCTTTTTTACCGTAGATCGGATGGCTCCTATTTACAACCACCCAGTCCTACGGTACTGTCCACGAGTTCATGCCTGCCCCACTCCAGGCTGGCAACCGGGACAGGAATTCCCCATGTGTACGGCAGTCCTCCTGATTCCCCACCTGAAAGACGTAGAAGGGATGCCACATCTCGTGAAACACAAGCATGGGGATGCTCTTCACTGGAATTGCCATTTCATTCTTGCCGTACCTGTGCCGTACACCAAAGGGGGGCCAAAGGGCGCCTTACGTACCAAAATAGCGACAGCTCTTCGCCCCAAAGCTAGCAAATAGACACACACATACACACACATACACACACACAGCAAAGACGCACCAAGGATGGGCTTAGCACAGTAATGATAATTGTGGTTTCGTACGCATGTCATGCATGTTGGCAAAGAAACTTCTTGCCAAGAGGCACCTCAATTCAGCTCAGCTAGCAGAGCGCAGCCAACAGCCCGCAAAGCTGAGGTCAGCCCACAAGTTAATAATCCACCTGAGCTGCCTCTCTCCGAGGTCCCATTCCTGCTCCAGCTCCGCCGTCGCCGCAGACCCAGTAGTCGCCAGCGTCTGCGCGGCCGCCCGCAGCTGCTCATTAAAGCCCTTGGGCACCGCCGGCACCGCCGTGAAGGTGGGTCCTGACAGCCCGCCACCGGTGGGGCTGCCGTCAGTGTAGAAGTACCGCGTGCAGCGGTGCTCCATCAGCTTGTGCATCTTCTGAACCTGCAGGTGAGCCGACCACCACAAGCCACCGGACAGCCTGCTAACCCGCATGGGATTAAGGAGGGAAATTACTATATACGTACGCGCACTTGCATCCGTGTTTCGTCATCTTGGCCTCGCTACAACAAAATATGTATATACATACAGACAAAACCTGTAGACCAACAAGCCAACCAGCAGCCGCACCGCGCCACTGCGTCAACCGAAATTCGCACCTTCCATTGCAGCAGCAGCCCTCCCCTGCCGCTCTCCTCGTCAGCCGTCAGCGTGGGATGGCTGTCATACTGCGGCTCCGACATGGCCACGTCCTGAGCACGCTCCAGGTCTGCACGCCCGTCCACAAGCTGCGCGCTCGTGAACACAGTGTACACGGGAACACACGACGGGTCGGTGAGCCGAGACGTTCAAAGGCGCCACTTGCAGAGCCGCAACCATAGGGGCACTGGACCGGGCCGTGTGTCATTAAACCCAATTACAGGGTAGACAGGAAGGGCAGTGCGGAAAGAAAAAGGGGGGACAGCGCAAGGCGGCGAAAATGGCACGGCGGACCTCTCCAATGTGCTGTGCCGGCGTGAGACGCAAGGAAAAGGTGTGTAACAGAAACACGGGGACTTGCATGCGCCGCCGCGCCACGAGTCTCGTGTCGCGTTACGGGGCCTAAGAGGCTCCTAAGCTCCCGGACAAGCCAGGACAAGTAGGTCGTGTCATGGCGCCATATGGGTCGCGTGACAGCTGGGTTGCGTTTTTAGTGTTCCGGGACTGATTCACGAGGGCTCCAGGGGCGGGGGTGGGGGTTTACATCAGCCAATGTGGACATCCAGCTACTGAAACATGAGAGTGAACCCCCACAGCTGCATTGCTTGCTTGGTCGCTGCATAGGCAGCATGTGCAGGCAATAGGGCCACGCGCGAAATACTTCTGAGGCCAGTCTTCCCTGACAGCAGTATTCATTTCTCTCGCGCAGGAGATACATTATTCTAGACACGGGCATTGACACTGCAAGACTGAGGGAAGAGCTTGGGGGAGAGCGTGAAAGCGCGGTGTGCACCCTACCCGAACACGGACGTATTGTGCATCCTTGAGAGCGCAGGGAGACAGGCTCAGAAAGATGTGCAGCCGCGGAGACCATTTGCAGAGCAGAAACGAAAACCTGCGTTGGGTCACCATGCGACAAGGGGTTAGGGGTCAGTGATGAAGTGTGCAGGCCACTGGTAGGTACTCAGCAAGGCCTTGATGGCACGCTTGCCATTCCCCCTGTGCCTTTGCAGTCAGGCCGCAGTCTTCAGGCAAACCCCGCTGAAATGAAGCCGTTAAGACCGATACCGGGCTCCTTGCCCCACTACCGCACCACTGCAACAGCTATGGTACGCACCCAGCTGTGAGGACGCCGACCAGATAGTAAAGCAGCTTTTTCCACCATGGCGACCTGAACCCCTCGAAGCTTGCGATATCCTGCATTGGACGCCAGGCGTGCCTTGGTCGGGGAAACCTTTTCAGCAATGAGTGTGGCCGGCACTCTCTGGATGCACGTACCTTGTCATGTTCATACGTAAAAACATCCAGTAATTTCCCCTTACGTCCCGCCTGCCGCTTCGGTGGCTGGGGTTGCTGCAGCTCTTGCTGCGGCTGACCTACGCCCTTGGCAACTCCGCCTTCTACTTCAAAAGGCACTATGTTCTGCACAGCCGGAGTCTGCTTATCACGCTCCAGATCCATCTCAGAGTTTTTGAAGATGTGAATATCTGATCGATGCTCGCAACTCACTTAGTCGTGCTTCAACTATACTACCGGCTTTATTCCATGTTAGCATATATAAAAGAATGACACAATCAGCTACTTAGGAAGCGCCCGACGCTAGACTCAAGGTGAGCTCTGCATTTAGGTCCACACCGATCATCTAAATTTTACGAAAAACACAAATACGGAATTTAAGATTTTCAGCTTGCACCTATGACGTTTCAACTGCAAAACTTATGAACGTTGCTATTGTCGGGTAACAGTTGGATCTGGGGTTTAGCCCGTAGCTTCTCCATTACCAGTTGCTATCCAACGCATGGGAGGTTTATATGTTATAACTGGGTTTAACCTTATAATGACTGGACCTCTAAGGTCACGCAAAAAGCTGTCGAGCCCAGGTGCGATAGGTGATAACCCTAGAAGGGCACGTGGTTCGATGTTGGACAAACAGCCGCGTCCCGAGCCCCTATGCAGATCTCAATGTACTCCAAAGTCAAGGCCGTCTTCCAGCTCCTTATGGGTTACCTGAAATCTACATACAACAGCCGGATGCTCGATCAATACCGGTACTCCTTCACCGTACCCGGCCTACCTCATCGTCTGCCTGGGTTGCGGAAAGCAGGATGGTGAAGGGCTTGCCCGCGTCTTCAGTTGCAGCATAGTCGCTATCAGCGGACGGTCTGCTATCGACCGACAAGCGTTTCGCCATCTGCGCTGCCGTACTTGTTGCAGTCCGATTCTTGACTAATTAAGCTGGCAGACTGCAAAGCCTGCCTGCCACAAGCTGAAAATTTGGAATGGCTGTTGAGACGCGTGTTAATTCCCAAACACCGCTTAGGAGCTGACTGCTATCCTGCCAGCATACCGCCACGTAGCCAGGCAAGGTCCGTTCCCGTACGGAATCGTAGAGGTGGCCGGGTGCGCTGCAGGGTCCAAGTGCGTGATGGTAAAATGCTTCAAAGTTGCTGTGTCTCTAAACCAGGCAAGCCATTGAGTGAAGGGTTTGAGATCGCCATGCGGAAACGTACGGCCTGCGTGGAGCACGCCGAGTATTCCCCGGTGGGTCGCGCGTAGGGTGGAGTCACAATTCATCCCTTGAACCCCCGCATTGCCTAAGATTGTGGTGGAATGCTGCCCAGCCACCCGATGAAGATAGAAAGCACGGGTACACAAGAAAGACAGCCTGCATCAGTTTTCGTGTATGGACGGCGGAGCTCCCATTCATCCCTATGCCACATACCTAGCATTTTTTGCCTTGCCCATGGGCTGAGTTAATGTGATTACCACTGCAGAACATTAATTACTTAGGCCAAAGTTGACTCTGCCATCGCTTACGAGGGTAGGATAACATCGGCCATACACAGAATAATGTAACGAACATAATATCTAATAGACAAATGGCTCGATTGCAAAAGTTAAGCTATGACAAACAAGAGTTGCATATCCCAAGAACCCTGGTCCCCAAACCAGATACGTAGTGATCACCGTACAGCAGCTTAACATATATTACGTGAACAGTTATCATCTGCATATGCAGCTCCTTTCCACATCCTAACCTTTATGGGCCCTACGGCCCCAGGTCTTCAGATAGGTCTCATCCTATGGATCGAACTCAGCGGAGAGAATAGGAAACGATTAATCAATTGCTTTAATTATCAATCCGTACTTCGGGGCCTTTCGGTATGGCCAAAGCGTTCGCCGTCGGGCTGCTGAGGATGGACGGACGGAGAACCTGTTCCAACTGCAAGAACTTTCTCGCAAGGTGTACACTGTATGTTAGGGTTATGGGATATCCCGCAATTTGCGGTCGTATTCTTGGCTACTCCTTATCCGCGGTGTTCGCTCTGTGTCTGCTGGAAATCGGTGGACGCTGGACAGGTGGTGAAAAGGCGCAGGTCATCCAGTAGCCCACATCTCTGAGGGTTCCACAACCACTCAATCCCCGCGCACCATGGCAGCATCGACGCCGCCGTCGTGGCCATTCGAAACCACCGATGTCGCTAACGCTGCCTGCTGGAACTGCCTTAGGGTACACTTCTGTTTCATTTATTTTCCTACGTATGCTAAAATCTTGAACCGTATGCTGAAATCTTGAACTTCATTAGGTGAAAATGATATTTACCACATCTCCATCTAGCTTTAGCCACCTCAATGCTGTGTCCTGGCATGTGCTATCTCCCTGTTATGATGCTGCTACCAGCATCACACTAGCCACCTAGCTGCCTGTTCCGAGCCTTTACGCATCTCGGTTCGCCAACGTATGACCTATCTGTTGTAGCCCCTCCAAACGCAGAGCGAGCGAGGTCATTCAATTTGATGGAACTGTATCAAGTAAGAAAGTTATTTGCTTTCTATGTTTTGTGATTGTGAAGTCGAAAGGAACGGGATGTATGGGTCGGCTGAGCGCTGACGCGACATACACTCCTAACTCAAAGTCCGCGAGCGAGTGCCTGGATGCATTCTCGGGGCAACTTTTCATTTCTTTCCTGCCTGGCCGTGTAGAATCTGGAACTAGCATGTGGACGGAGAACCGCGTCCAGCTAGACGCTTAAGCAGGATGGCGAAGGTAATGCGCACGAAAGTGTTAATAGAGTGTTAATAGAGGCAGGGCTTATCACAATAAATATTTTACGGAACAGTTGAAACACTTCGCAACAGAGGCCTCCGCGATTAGCAAAATTGTACTCCTTTCGGCACTCTCCAGCATGGCTGGCGAGCAGGCTAGCATTACAGCTGCTGTTGCTGTTATTGGAGGCTACTTCCGTAGCGCTGTGGCAATACAAACGGATTCGCTTCAGGGCCTCGGCGCTTCTAGCTGGAGAACTCGACGACCATTCACAAGCTATCGCGTTGCTCTGACGGGGCAAGATTGTATGAGAGTAGACGCAAGGTCAGTTTCGTATGTGACAAGCACATGATGCAAAAATTCCGGGTAGGACAGCCAGGGATGCTGTGGGGAGGGCGCGGCCTTACTTTGCCGCCTCTTCCTCCATCTTGCTCATCCCCACAAGGAAAAGGTTAATGCCTTTCGCCATTTAAGGAAATCAAAAAAGATGTGTATATTCCATAGCATCTCTCCTTTTTTATTATATACGCATGAGTCCTAGGTGCACTTTCTACAAAACCGCTATCAGATATTTGGAGGCACGAACCATCTCCCTGCCTTCATCCGACTTGCATGCACTTCAACGCGCCGAAAGATGCAGTGTCTCTCAGTTAACTGACTGGTGATCCTAGCCTTAACCTTACTTGCTGTCCAACATGACCATCAGCCCACCTACCCTCCGCTATCAATTGCTCGGTGCCGAGCTTTCCCGCCCACACGCGCAAGTCCACACGCCCCCACACACACACGCCCACGCACACCTGCACACACACACATACATAGACACACAGGAGGAGGCACGCATACAGGCACATACACAGGCACACAGGCCACCCTGCCGACTCCTCTTCGGCATTGTAAGTAGTCGTCTTACCGTCTTACCTTATCCTCCCTCCCTCGTATCACAAAGTGATTGAGCTCTACTTTTCCCGCGCTGATGTTCTCCCGGGTCCTCACTTCATTTATAGCCAGTTCACATGCTACGTTACGTTAAGACTTTTTGGGAAAAGTGGTCGGTTCGGACATGGTAACGGTACGTTACCGGTAAAGTGGACGAAAAGTCTAAAGTGACCGAGGGGGGGGGTGAATTTCGTCAAACGCTGACCCCTCGTACCGTTACCTGAATTGCATCGCCAATTTCGCGAGTTATAACAAATGGCCAAGCACAATCGCTTATAAAGACCACATATTTGACAAATTGTGCGCGCTTTGCACTCCGACCGAATTTCTAGTCACACCGCTGCAGTTTATTTTGGAAAATGAACAAAGGACAACGCCACTCGTGTTGCTCGACCGCTCATGACCGCTTACATAGCCAATATGTAACCCATTGTAGTATCAGGGCTGAAGCCACCCGCGAAACGGCAAGTCGGCCGCACTTCCGGCGGCATGGGCCGCGCCGCGCCTGCCCACACGCTCAAACTCTGCCACTGAGCATCGAACATGTCTTCAAGGTTATCAAAAATTTCATCCATCGCGACCGCTAGGGCAAACGCCATCGCGGCTCGCGCGGGATGCAGTGCCATTGCACTAGGCAGGGCTGCCAATAACCCTTCAATTATATATTGCGATTCTAAGGGGATGTGCTGAAGTTTTGGCCATTGAAAGACATAAAATGGAGATGGTTTACACAGCTCGCGCCAACGAACACAACGTCGTCGTAATGTCCCATGTGAACTGGGTGACTTTCTCAGGCCCACTTTTCCCAAAACGTTTTCGCAACGTAACGTAGCATGTGAATCCAGTATTAAAGTGGTGTGTAACGAAGTATGACAGCTAGCTCGCTGCAACTGTTATTTCGTTCATTGCTGGAGCGAATGTGCCAGTGCAAGCCATCATGCTCCCATTGGGAGCCCAACATGTAACGCCGCTAAGGCGGCCCTTGGCTCACCGGGCCAACGGTTATCGTACCAACGGTACATCCAAGAACTATTCATAATCCTTCAATATTAAACGGTATGTATCAATACCACCTTTTTATCGTTGGATAATTATCTTCGTAACTGTTTCGCCAACTGCCGAGCTTTGTTACGGTTTGGTATCGAGACCATTGTAACACAGCAAAGGCGTAACCCAGGATGCTCAGATTGGCCTTGCGTCGTTACACAACATGCTTCAAGGTTCTCCTGTGCATGTCATTTACTTTAAACATCATTGAACGAGCTTGCATGACACGCTGATATTGCCTTGCACCTATCAGGCTGCCGGCATGTCAATTATATTGCCGCCTGCATGGCGCACCGTAGCTCCCCATCTGCAATAAGGCAAGAATTTGACGACCGCTTTACTCAGAAAGGTCTCTGAGCAAACAAAAGCAGAACTATGAGGAAAAGGGTTATTTCGTGGCCATCCCATGCCTACCAGCATAAACGGGATAACGAACAAAAGCAAAACGATACTGTGGTGATTCTTTTCATCCAAAGCAAATCTCACAAGAGTGGAGCCGCGAGCGCAGATCGTTATGGCATACATGCATGCAGCGCTTTCGAGGATTGCCGTGCTACTCTCATTGCACTACTGAAAACCATTTTCTCAGCAGTCGTCCAAGGCTGCTTGTTGGGCCCTGCGGAACGTCTAGGCACCTGAACGACGGTTGGGCATTCGGCAGCGAAGGCAAGCCACGAAGCTAGGGGCACTCGGGCAGCATGCCTACCTTCCTGTCCTTATGCGACTCATGTATGAGGTAACCAGCAAGTACATACGTATTTATGTTACAGTTACGTTGAAACCTGAACGTGCTAATCACAACCCAACGGCTTTTTAACCTAGCTTGGCAAGAGCTTAGTCGTATACTTAGCATGGCCAGCAAGCCGCCGAACATGATCTGCGAAGGCGACGTCTGTCACAAGGTAACACACAGTTCACTGTGCGTCGCATCCGTCGAAAGACGAGCAGAGGTGCCATAGGTCCCGAACTCAGCATATTAGATACGTATAAGAACTATCTTACACTGGCTGATTCTCAGGTGACCCAGGACCAAATAGCGGCGAGGTACGGCCGTGTTCCCGTTTTTAAACTTCTGAGCTCGTCGGCATTGCAGAGCAAGGCCGGAGCTCAAGTCCCTCTCTCCAACAGCATCGGTGAGCTGTCATGGGGTATGGTTGAGGGAATTTCGTTTCGCGTGCGATGCGGGAGCATAGCTCCTTCGGCAGCAAACGTTTTTCCCGTTGCCCAGCGCATTACATCCTAAACACACCGGATGTCACCCCTGGCTGCCAACCCTCGTCCTACCCACATAATCTGACCCCGCCTTCTTTCTTTGTGCACAGCCGGCTGCGTGTTGGACTCACAGCTAAAATTGCACCCTATGAGCGATGCTTGGGTGCCGTGTTAAGTATTCATCAGGGCATCATCAGGAAAGAAAGCCGCTCCAACCACCGCTATCTTACGAACCCGCTCACACCGCGCCGCACTCCGACGGCCCCCTCGACAACTGATCCGTATTTCCCCCTTCTTCCTGCACTCTTTCGCCTCCCCGCTCTTCTGGTGGCAATGCAATACCCTCCCCAGGCCCCAACAAGGTCATCGCGCTGTACTTCTCCGCGCACTGGTGCCCCCCCTGCCGCCAATTCACTCCCAAGCTGGCTGCGACATATAAGTCCTTCAAGGAAACACACCCGCGCGCTGCCGACTGGGAGATCATCTTTGTGAGCTGGGACACCGACCAAACATCCTTTGCAGAGTACTACCAAGAGATGCCCTGGCTGGCGCTGCCCTTCCAGATGCGGGACATCGCTGACGATTTGACCAAGTTGTACAAGGTGAGTAAATATTTAACAATAATTGCGAATTCTTGCCATTCACGTTTGCGAACACGCGCAGGCGCTCAAGACCAGACATTCTTTGGACACGTCTGAAAGCCTTTGGCGCTTCGACACGGTTATACTCTCACGCCGTTATCGCTTTGACAACTGTTTTCTCTCGCTGCACAATTCACCACGCATTCCCACGCACGCGCACTAAGACGCGCAGGCTCTTTACTCTGCCACCCACCTATCCCCAAAACGTCTCGCGCCAGGTCAACGGCATCCCCACGCTGGTCCTGGTGGACGGTGGCACTGGAGAGCTCATCACCAAGCAGGGTCGTGAGGCCATCTTGGACGACCCAACATGTGCAAAATTTCCTTGGCTCCCTGAACCCAAGGAAAGCGAGGCGTGTAAGGTACGTGCAGAAGTACGGGTTTGGGCCGCAGGAATGAAGCCAGGATGGGTTGGGTCGCAACGAACGGGCCTGCTGCTGATCTAGGTAGCCTAATACGTTGCAGACCTGTGCTACTTGAGGAGGCAGGGCTTCGGCGAGAAACTCCCCGGACAGGGCGTGGATTGATAAATGCGTGGGTGCAATGCTCTGCGTCGGTCTTTCTGTGCAAGATACCGCCATGCCTTACGTTCGGGCACGCATCCTGCCGGTTGGATACATCCTACCCCTCCCCTTTTTCATATCCTCAAGCCACACATCCCGCATCCTGGTGACTACATCCCCCCCCTCCGCAATCTTCATCCTTAGTGGGTTGGCGTCGACCCTTCCGAATATGCCGCCATTCTGGGCCTCCTACCACCCTTATCCTTGGGGGGTGTCCACATTTCTATCCTACTCGTATCCTGTGCCCGACTCTCCGCCGCATCCCTCTACAACCCCCTCTGCCACGCACCACTTTCGAACCCCGGTGCTCGCCCCGGTGTCCCACCCCTCGCGTTCGCGCATGCGGTGATCTCTTCCCACCTCACCTCACCTCGTCTCATCTCACCTCGACGGCGTCGGCTGCAGGGCTGCTCATCGTTTCTGCACTCGTTCCTGGAGTCCTTTCTCGGGTCATTTCTGGATAGCCACTCGTCATCGGCCCATAAATAAGGGGCGGCAGGACACTCGTGCGGATGGAGTGTCGGGAAAGCGGCAAGAGGCGAGTCTCCATTAGTAGGCCATCCGGGGCGGTTCCAAGGCGGATGCATATGACGACAAATCTTGCATGTGGGGGGTCGCTGCGTCGTCAATCTAATCCTGCAGCGTCATCCCATTAACGGAGTTAGCTGAGAAGAAACAACCACCGCGTTTATCGCGACTCGATAGGGAGTGGCGAGCACGAGGTGTACGCGCACGCCTGCATGCGTATATGTGCGTATATTGCAGGTTACCATCCACGTCTTGTGTTGTCTGCCCCGCTAGCACTGCCTAGCACTGCCTTTGCGGTCTTTTGCATTCTGAGGTCCTTCCAGTCATCACTTAGGTGTCTCCGCTTTCCCGATCGCATTTTGATTCCCTCTTGGGGTGTGCGTGCAGCCCCGCAGGGTACACGTGGCTGAAGTGCTTGGGTGTATGCGCCGCAATCTCCAAGTGCAGGTGGGGCTGCTGTGCAGAATGGCCGTCCGCCGTAACAACAACGCAAACGAAATATATAACGATATATAAAAATAACGAAATATATAACGAAATATAGCGATATCAAAAGCAAGGCACTACACACAAACGCAAACTCACATTTCTGGAATCTGGTGGTATCCCATGTAACCTCATTCATCCATACGAATATGCATGAAGGGCAATGTATATGAAGGGAGCGGCGGTGGCAGTGGCAGCTAAGCCAAGCCCCTCACACGATGCAATCATACGATACTTCACCGTTGTATGCACAAACGATCTCGTCGAACATGGCATTCTTTTGAGTTGTACGGCGCGCGAGGACGCACGTCATGCTGCCCTTGAGGCCCTCGTTAGCCTTTGGAAGGGCCTTTGTTGTTGATAATGGTGTTGATGTTGCGTCGGTTGAGCTGCGGGTGAAATTTGCCTAGTGTGGTGTTCTGAAGGACTCCTCCGTAACCTCGGAGGTTGTGTTGTGGCGTCAGTCGCAACGGAGTTTGTGTGGTGTTCCGGGGGCAGGACATGCTGCGTAGGAACATATGCGTAGGAAAACATATGTTCCATCCAGTCATGATCGAGCGATAGTAAAAGCAGGCACATGTACAGCCTGACGTACAGGAAATTAGTCAGGCAGGCAAACAGGCGGGTAGGCGGGTTGTAACGGCTGGAAGGTGTCCACAGGTGCGCCGTGATAAATGACGTGCGTCGTCTACATGGCTGCATGGCTACATGTGGCGCGGCGCGTGCAGGACCCTGCAGACCAAGACAACACGCAGGGACTCGCGGCGGAATGATGTCTGGTGCGTGGCGTGTGAGTGGTAGGGGAACCGCCCCTCACCTGGTTGCCTACGGTACGGGCACCAAGAAGCGTGCAATGGCACCCTAGCAACGATGGTTTAACCGGACCTGGATAGCCAAGCAAGCGTAAGAGGCAACGCAGTGCCATGAGATGTGTTGGCCTGTACCTCCAAAGCCGCCGACGTAGTATCTACAGAGCTTGCGGTGACGGTATTACAAACCGCGATCGGACCAGACGGGACGCACGATGGGGCAGCCTCTAACATTATGGCTGCAACGCCCAAGTTATCCTCCGATTTTTCGTATGCATATGTGTGCAGCTACGTGTAGCCTGATTCATCAGCATTTACCAACGCAAGCGCCAATTATCGGGTCGGAAGCTTTCCCTTTCCCTTTTATTTTCATAGCTCTGCTTGTCCGCTGTGGCTGTTGACATGTGGGGACTATATTTACGCGCGGTGTGCAACCCAATGGATCAAGTCTGTCAAGAATAAGAGCGCGCGTGTGTGTGTGTTTGGGGGGGGGGGAAATGGCGTGTGCGTGTATGGGTAAGCGAGCGCGAGTATGTGCTGTAACTGTGTAGCTACGTTTGGCGAATGGATAGCAGTTTACTGCCTTGGCCCTTGGTCGTCCCTCAGTACCTCCTTCCTGAAGAGAAGACGAGACAGTTGGTGGGAGGCATCACCCAGCTACCTACCTGGCGTGATAAGGGAGAAGGGATGTGCATCCAGTATGATGGACATATGGAAACCTGTATTGTTTATTTATCAAGTGTTGATGCAAATATAATGCATGGATGAGGAAAGAATAGAGGTGGTGTCGGCCTGGACAAATGGTGAGAGACTCTTTCCAAGCGTACGATACCGTAGGGTGTATTGCTGTACGCACACTGCAGCGTCCGTGATTGCAATCAGCTAGGGGCTGGTTATGTAACTCCGCGACGGAATGCGACTGGTGCACCGATCAGCGTGTTGCTGTATCGGGTATTTGATTGTACACAGTTTTTAAGTGTCGTATAGAACATGTAAGGCATAATTCCTTTCTATCCCGGCATTTGTTCACGCGAGGACGCCTTCCTCTTGTACAGAGGCTGCACAAAGAAGGTTAAAGTTCGCGTCTTGTTTGCTGTAATAATATCGGTTCAATACTTTTCCAATGTAAGATCCGCCCTACAGGCGCGGAAAACTGACTCACGTATGCACACGTATGTATTCGCGTAAAAAGAATAATAGAGATTTCGCGAGTTCCTTGCGAGTTGCGAGTTGCGAGTTGCGACTTCAGCCATACGCAAGAGTGCACTTCGCCGCAACCAGCCATAACGAATGGACTGCGACTGCGTAAGGATGTTGGAATATACATAAAAGTAAATCCGATAAGGTTAAACGTGCTTTATATGCTAACTAACTGCACATCGCTTAGAAACAGTTGGCAAGCGTGCCAAATATCGGCGAAGTAGGAGAAATGGGTTGCAACGGAGCCGAACGTTCCATGCTCAAGTATGTGCGTTTACGAAAATATGAAGCACGCCGCAGGTGGGCCTCCCTTGGAACTAGGGAGGGTTCCCTCCCTAGGGAACTTACAGGCATCTGGACGACAAACGGCGCTGGGCCTGGTCAGGCCGCGGTATGCAAATGTAGCTGTTCTTTAGGTATGCTGGGTATAAAAGCTCAGCCGATAAAACTAATAGACAGTCTTACCTACCCTCAAACAGCTGCGTTGCCTTGAAAGTTCCCTAACGCGCTTTTCGGATACTCCTTCCAAGTCAAAGTTTCAGTATACAAACATGACCGACAAGCCTGCTGACGTGATCTGCGAAGGAGACGTCTGCCGCCGTGTAAGGCATCGTTTGTTTCGCTTACTTGCAAGACTGTCGGTGCCTTGGACATTTGCCTGAACGATCTATTCGAAAATGGCCAACAGGCAACGTGTCCAGTTCTTAGTCAAGAGTTTGAAAATTATTCGGGAACTCGTTGTTCCCTTGATTGGATTGCAGGTGACCCCGGAGGAGGCGGCCAGTATTGCGGAAACATCTGCCGGGACGGCCGAGCCCCGCGTTTTCAAGTTGCTGGGATCCACGTCCCTGAAGGGCAAGGGTGATTCACAGGAGCCGCTGTCCAGCATTACGGGTAAGCTGCCCATATGGGCCTTTGCGAAAAGTCGCAAGCTCGTTCCTAATGCTGCGCGCTGCAGCTCACGCTTTTGTGACCGTTGCACTGGAAGTAAATGGCAATACATTTGCACGACCGCTTTCAGTTCCCTTCTGGAGTCTCTTTTGCCGCACCGCGTCGACCCAGACATGTCTGCCTAATCGCTGACTTATCATGGATGGCTGTGTGGGAAGTCGAGATTCAAGTGCCCAATACGTCCGGCCATTTACGTAGCACCAGAGCCACCCAACCGCCGCATCCACGGCAACACATCTCCTCTTGCCGCGCTGCGTTCACCAACCCTTTCTCGTTACTCACATCTTCGCCAGGCCCCAACAAGGTCATCGCGCTGTACTTCTCCGCGCACTGGTGCCCCCCCTGCCGCCAATTCACTCCCAAGCTGGCTGCGACATATAAGTCCTTCAAGGAAACACACCCGCGCGCGGCCGACTGGGAGGTCGTTTTTGTAAGCAGCGACCGAGACGAAAAGTCCTTTGATGGATACTACGAGAGCATGCCCTGGCTTGCACTGCCTTTCTCGGAACGAGAGACCAAGGCAGCACTGAGCAGCCTGTACAAGGTGAGCGCTTGTTGCAACCACTAGGCTAGGTAACGATTTAAAGATGGTGTAGAAGGGTGTCTTCATGTAAGAAATGTGTCCAAAATCTGCTCCAGTGCCCCAAAACCGAGTGGCAAATGGTACAAGTTGGCAGGCTGATTTCTGGAAGAGATGGGTAGACGCGTAAGGTGATTGAATGCGGGGTGGGTGTTGCCTGACGCGTTGACTAGGAGGATGTGGCAAGGTAAACGGCAGGCGGATAGATGAACAGACGGACGCAGGAAAAGAGGTGAACAGACAGGTGGACGGGCGACTGGAGTAGAGGTTGGGGCCGCATGGGAATGCTCAGGTTACCTATTACTGCTCACTCGCATGCGCCGCAGACCCTCGGGCTCATTGACCCTCGTTGTACCCCTGAAAGCCCCCGGAAATGCAACTTGCTGCCCTGCAACGGCACCCAGCTGCGGAGATTCCAACACGCGGCCGTGTACATATTTAAATATCTTACTACCCCACGTTGACGAAATCCTCATGCCTATTACGCTGCATTTTATAGTTATTGGTCTGACTTGCAATCCCAAATACGAATGCGATTCCACCCTTTCCGCATCCCCGGAACCTCCTCTTCCAGGTTCGCGGCATTCCCACATTGGTCGTCATTGACGGCGAGACGGGGGAGTTGATCACCAGCAATGGCCGTGACGCAGTGGGGGATGACCCCGAGTGCGAGAACTTTCCCTGGCGACCTAAGACGTTCACCCAGGTCAGCGGAGGGAAGGAAAGGGGCGACGCGTGTAGTGTGTCACGTGTTGCACGTGCTCTCATTCCGGACGCATACTTAACACAGTCCACAATACCGTTGCACCAAAATGTCCATACATACATACATACATACAATGCCTAACCACAATATACCAGACCAAAATGGTGTTTTTCCCAATGGCCGATTCCTTCCGGATCCTCGCAATGGACAGATTATGGAGGGCGCCACTCTCGTGGAGCCGGGAGCAGACAAGGACGCAGCGCCCATCCCCGCCCTGGACCGCCTCTCTGGCAAGGTGACTCTCCTGTACTTCTCTGCGTCCTGGTGCCCTCCCTGCCGCCGCTTTACGCCTATGCTAGTGGAGGCGATGAAGGCGCTTCGCGATGCTGGCAAGACTGTGGAGGGCGTGTTTGTGAGCGGCGACCGAGATGAGGCCGCCATGAAGGAGTACCACAGCCACATGACCTGGCTCGCGCTGCCGTTTGCTGACTCTAAGCGGCGCAACGAGCTCAACATGTGAGTGCGGGGTTGGGTGATGAAGGTGTCTAGGGGTGGTAGTAGTTGGAATGCTAGTGTGTGGTATGGGTGATGACTGATACGGGTGTTTCATTCAAGCGGTTAAAAGGGAGGCGGTACGTAACTGATTTAATAAGGAGTTTGGCTCTGGGCTGTACGCAGCAGACAGAGTGGGTGACGGCACAAGGGGTGCACCGGGGTAGGACGGGGGGCATGTCAAGGTAGCAAGAGCGGCGGTAGCGGCAGTTGAGGCTTTCCCGTGATGCTCATGAAGAAAATACCAAAAATGGCACTGATGTCAACTGTGAGCGACAAGACGCATCTTTGCTGAGGAAACCCCACATGCTCTGCGGCTGCCGCCATCACCGCTGCCCCCGCCATCGGCATGCCGCCACAACACTGCTTTATGCCGCGCGCATATGTTCTTTGCGCCCTTACTCCTACCTTGACGCAAAACTACTTCTCATGCCTCTCCTTCACCATCCATAGCATCCAACCCAACCTATTTTCCATAGTTCACAGTGAACGTCCCTAATTATTGTATTCCCTTGCCCATGCAAAACACCTTGGTACATCTGGCGACCTGGATTTTACTCCACTTCAGGCGCTTCGAGGTTGAGGGTATTCCCACGCTTGTCGTGCTGGACGAGGACTTCAATGTCATTACCACCGAGGGCGTCGGCGCCATTCAAAGCGACCCGTCAGGCGAGCGCTTCCCTTGGCGACCGCAGCCCCTGGAGCAGCTGTCAGATTACAATGTTAGCCGCATTAACAGCGGTCCCGTGCTGTTGCTGCTCGTCGCTGGCCACGGTGACGGTGGCGACGCCGCCGCCGAGGATTTCGCCAAGCAGGTTTTAGAGCCCGTAGCCAAGGCTACTCGCGCCGCGCCGGGTGGCGAAGATTGGAGCTTCTTTTGGGCCACAAAGGGAGATGAGATGGCCGGGCGGGTGGTTGAGTTCGTTGGCGGGGTTAAGCAGGAAGAAGGGCAGAATACGGCGGTGTTGGTAGATGTGGCTGGCAGCCAGTCGAGCTGGGATTTGGGTGATCTGGGGGTGCAGATGACCGAGGAAGGGCTGGCGGCGGCAGTGGCGAACTTCAAGGCAGGGAAGCTGGGAAAGGGACGGCCGCTGGGGGAGTAGGTCGCTAGTGAAGAAGATGATGGTGATGTGGGAAGAGGAAGGTCAGGCAGAGTGGGAAGAGGAAGGTCAGGCAGAGTAAGTGAAAAACTGATAAGTACTAGACAGTGATTTGGGGAGCGGGGAAAAACACGCGTGCGGCAATGATGTGTATGCATCCTTCGTACACGAATAAAAGTATGCGACACGTCCATACGAATCATTCATCCTTTCAATATCGCGTGCTGTGCGTTCGTATCCAGACTGTTTCGCAGGCAAAAAGCGAATTGAACGAAATAGTGTACCTTTTTGCAGGATGAGTAATCCTCTGTTGCTGCTTCATCTGAAAAATTTAGTTGACGGACATCGTGCCACGATCTCAACTATAATATCGTGTATAATATTCATATGGCTTAAATAGTGACAGTCGGAAGCTCGGAGGTTTGCACGAGACTGTTTCCATCGATATTGTGCCGTATCGTGAACATGTAATTGACATTCCAAAACTTGCCACTCAAGGACGTATATCCAATGCCATAGCATCCGTCTTATCGACAATACCTGGCACACTTCACATGAATTACCAACAAAACGTCACACATCGGAGCATCATCTGGGCATAATTAGGCAAACACGCACGATTCCCATGAACTATCTTTGGTCGTTCGTACGATTCCAAAACATAAGCTTCAAATATCGCTGCAAAAAGTCTGTCCGACAAAATCGTTGAATACCACACTTGGCTAGCAAAGCCTGGCGGCATGGCTCAAGCTCAAAAGCGCGGTTCAGCGGGCATGTGACCACGCATTTATCGCCCGCATTCTGTATCGCTTGCCTGAACACGCAGCCTTACAAGTTGCCCACGGGCATGTAAAACTTTCGCGCAAAGGCTTCCTTTGCCTTGCTGACGAGGAAGCTAGCTGTTTCGGAAGAAAGAAACGTGAATCAGATCCGCGCCTTGCAATACGGAAAACGACCGCGACCGTGACCGTGACCGTTCATGCAACCTTGATACACCGCGAGGGTTACACCAGGACCTCAATCTCGCCGGCGTCGCTAACGCGGACCTGGAAAGTAGGCAGCGGCTTCTGTGCTGGGCCCTTGCCAACCAGCGGCAGGTTGGGCAACTGTAAACAGCAGCGGGGCAAAGCAGCAGGAAAAGAGCAAGGGCCGAACGAGTATCATCTGTTAGCTCATGTGGGGTCGAATCAGGCGCGCAGCTGCAGAACGGCAGTGTGGCATACATACATGCTCAAGGCCCAACTCGCTGGCCTTGGGGCTATAGCCCCAACATGCCGTGAGTACGAGGAAGACAGCATAGGTAGCGTGGCACGTGTGAACGCAGAGCGCTCTACACAGCGGCCCCGTCATGACTTTGCTGGGCGGCCGTGACGTCCACTGCATCCTTGGCAGCGCTCCCTACCTTGGGGCACCACTCGCCCTTGACAGCCCCAGTCTCCAAATCAAAGTAGGTGCCATGTGCGGGGCACACAACACACTTGTCCTTGATCTCAGCCTGGAGTGAAGGGGCGAACAGCGACGATATGCATATGTTCACAGCATACTGCTGAATAATGTAATTATGGGGCTTCCGAATTTGCGGCAGGAGACAGCAGGTGGGAAAAGGATCAGTTGGGGGAACGGAAGCAGCCTGTTGAGGACGCACCGAGGCCTGCTAGTTGTACAGTCCAGAAGCGGTTTGGCGAAACCCGAGGATCTGGGTGGACAGGGTAAAATGCGCTCGATCGCACCTGGAACAAGGCGGTCTTGCCCACCAGGGGCAGGCCCAGATGGCTGCACTTGTTGGAGACAGCGCGGACCTGGCCATCCGACTCCACAAGCAGCACCTAAGGGAGGCATTTTATAACTTCACCGACACCGAATTGCATGTAATCCAGTGGCCCAGTCACACTTGTGGACGACCAACTCCAACCGCAAATTCACAGTTGGCCATACCCATCGGAGATCATTCACGGCAAAGCCAGGCTAGATACCTAAAAATGAGCCTGACATTATGATCGCCTTCGTGGATGGATGGATGGATGGATGGATGGAAGCCTACACGTCGGCTTAGGGCTCAATTTACTACTTTCCAACCCCCTTAAGTCCAAATGCAGCAAACAGAATTCATCCTGAAAATATCCATTAAGCTCCTAGGCATTGAGACAGCTCCGTAGGCTGGAATTGTAAACTTGCCTTTTGGCCGCCGACCTCCACGACCTGCTTGCCGCCGCTAGACTTTAACCCAGCTTTGCTGCCAACCTTGGTCCAAGCAGCTGCCTGGACACGGACGGCGCGGCGGCAAACCGTGCTGCGGACAACGCCCGAGGTGCGGGGGCAGAGAGCGCTCGACATTTTGCGTTCACAGATGGTTGACGGAAAAGACAAAGCGTTCTCTACACCGTTGTTGAAAAGCAAAGAGCGTCATAATAGCTCCTGTATGGATCCGAAGTGTACGGCAGTATGTACATTAGGAATACGTTAGAGTAGCATCCTTCTTATGCTTTGCCCCAAGATCGCATTTTCGGCCGCGGGCTTAATTCATGGATCCGCTTCCCATCGTATGTTCACTGACTAGTGTGCCGGAATGGTTATAGTTACGGTGCGGATAGCCAGATCATTTCCCCTGAGTCCCCTCTTGCTCTTTAACAGGGCATTTCCCAGCAGTAAATAGGCATCGACTCTGTCCCCTGGGCCCCGACGCGCTGCTAGAGCTGGGGACATTGGAATCCCCATCTAGACGAGACGGCAGGGCCAGACTTCCCTAAGACAGGGAACCGAGCGTCAATCTAGCAGCCTTTCCTACAGATTCCTCTCATCTTATTGCTATAGCTACTGGCATTGTACAAGATGACATAAGCCCTAAGGTGATATGCGTCGTAAGTCATCGTATATAACTGCGCTTAACTGCCTTTCAAGGCTATCACATCACTGCTGCTTAGTTACCCCGACCTCCTCACACCAAACATAATATCACCTAGAACTTGGCGGCGCTACCGTTGCTCGCCGAAAGCCGAAATTGAGTACCACAAATATGCTAACGAACAACTATCCGTGTAGTGTACCCTTCGTCCTTTCCCCAAGTCGCCACAGGTTTGCTGTGCAGCCGGGTTGTAAGTAGCTATATAAGGGCAGTAAGTGTTGTGCTGCTCCCCATCAACTCATACGAGGGTACCTTCTGAACCTGGGGCCCCGTACTCAGGCTCTTTCTGTACGTACAGTCGACCACGTGCACAGCGCCATGCACTTAGGCCCTTGGTGGCCGCACGCTTGGGCGAAGGCATCCGGAGTGATCTGAGAATGGTCAAATCTGGGTTAGGAAGGCCACCAGCGTTTATGGACATGCGTCATCGAAAAAGTCTTTCGTAGGTCAACAGGAGGCCTTCATGGCATTTCATACTTGATTGCCCTCACGCCTTTGCTGGCGCATGGGTTATTCGCACATGACTACGACTCCACTACAGTACACAGATACGCAACACAACCTAAAGTATTTTTTACATATTGTGCTACCAAGTTACGTAGCCATGCACGAAGTGCAGCTCAATCCCGCTTTCCTTCCCAAGTTCCGATCAGCATCCGTCAGCTACACCACGGCTTTTTGCACAACACAACAGCACCCCACCCCGCCCGAGTCCGGCCCTCTCAAAGCTGCGACGGTGCGCCCTCGCCACGGCCCCACGCATCACCCGCAACACGACGGGTCGGAAGTGCGGTAGTTGGTGGCGGGCCAGAGGTCAGGCTTCCTTATGCGTTCCCCGCATGGGACGACGTTAACGGCCCGTCCACCGTCTCGACCTGTACGTGCAGGCAGGGTGAAGGTAATAATTCCACAAGGGAAACGTCAAGAGCATCACTACATGCGATGGGTGCGGCGGGGCCAGACGGGTTGGTTCTACAGAGTGTTGGCTGGGTGGATGAGTGTAAGGATCTCTTACCCTTCCTTTCACCCCAAGTTCTGACCGTACGGATTCTGGTTCTCCAAGCTTTCTCGCCTGGGGCAAGGGGACTTGCCAAAGCCGTGCTTCACTCATAAAAGGAGCTGAACACAACCCGACACGCACAAGCGCACAAACACAATACATGCTGCTGAACCTCGACTTCCTTCGGAACAGTTGCCAGTGTGCCATTGCGCGCCGTTTCTTTCCCACTCTCGCAGCTCAGTTGGCTCATCGAAACAGATTGTGCACACACATACAGACACACATGGTGGAGATGCGCATGTGTCAACAGTACACGCAATACACGCAACGTTACATACGCCCGATCCCCCGGGACAACCCACCCTGGCAGTTTCCAAGGTGTCCAGCAGCGGGCCACCATCAGCACCCGCAGCATCAGGCCCAAACAGCCGCATGCGGGGCCGCACCGGAAGAGGCGGAGAAGGAGAGGAAGCCTCCCCAGACGACTGCATACCACGCTCGGACGGTACAGGCGGATCACGGTCATGCAGCCCGGGCCTGGCAGCAGGCCCATCCAGGCCCCGAGGTTCCCCCAGTCCCGACAACCGAGTTGTCGGATCTCTCAACCGGCTATTGCTGCGGTTACTGCGGCTGATATCGCCGTATCCGGGCCCCGCCAACAGCTCCTCTAATCGGTAGTAGCGACGTGCCTGTGGTGTGAGCACGTGCACCTGCACGCGACCTGGAATGATACGTGGGGAAGTGGGGTTGGAATCACCTGGGCGGTATGAGGGCGAGAGTACAGACCCTAAAAGAACCCTAAAACCCCACCCAGAGAAGCGCAAATGCAGACGTGGACGCAGACTGACCTGCTTCCAAGGATAGCCAGTCTGCTCCGTTGAAGCCCGACACAGACGGAGCACCACCGCGCAGGAAGGACTGCTCCAGAGCCGCCTTGTCAGTGGATCCGCCGTGCATAGATCCGGATCTAGAGTCAGGAGATTCCGAAGAATAAGACCCGGCAAGCATCATTTCCTCCAGGCGCTCCCGAACCTTGCGCCATGAGGATGCAGTGTACGGACAGCGTGGGAGACGGGGGAGGAAGCAGGGCGACCGGGTGGGGTGCAGCGTGTGTGGTTCTAGGAATAGTGCTTCATGTCTCCCACGAGTCCAGAACCCGAAAAAATATTTCGCACAGGGAAAAGATTACACGGTCATCCTGGTTTGCAGGATGAAGATGAACTGTACAAATGGCATCAAGGTAAGGCCAAGGGGCAGCGGTCAAAAGAGAGGGAAAGAGGACGCAGCCGGAAAGGTACAGCGCCAGTCATGCCTGTATAAAGCCAACACAGCTTAGTGCACGACAGGTATGTAACGCCATTGCACGACATCCGCTCCGTTCAGCTCAGTGGCGTACGGCACGCCTGGGTGTCCATGGTTAACGTGGCCCACCACGAGCAGGACACCTCTCCACCCACCATCACCACATAACCTCATCACCCACACGCACCTGAAAACGAACCGCCTCCGCACATGCGTATGCGTGCCGTTGCGACAGCGCCGTCGCCAGCACCGTGTACGACACCCTGGACCCAGATCCGACGCCGAAACCAATTTCCGAGCCCGTCGTACCGCTGCCGGCTTCCCCATCGGAATCTGAATCCGAGATCACCACCACGTCCTGCGCTCGCGCCTTGACCAGCCACGTGGCAATCTGGTGGATCCAAATTCAGGTCGTACAAATGGCGCTCCCGTTACCGGTACTGATTGTAAAACCCAAACTCAACAACAGCTCCGGCAACTGACACCTTGAGCCAAGGGGTGGCGGGGGCCACTTCAGGTTCGTACAGGAGTTACCTACCTACCCGCCTACCTACTACCTAATTAAGACACTAGCTAAAAAACTGGCTAACCCAGCTAAAAATGTTTAGCTCGGAAAGGTTTGCCTAGGAAACTAGCTAATCAGCTAATTTCTCACTGCCCAACCCCACCTTCACAACAGTCCCCCCACACATGCACATACACGCACACACCTCCTCCGGCCGCGCCGCCGCCACCATGAGCTGCTGCCGCCGCCGCGCCGCCGCCAGCACCTGCCTCCGCCGTGGGTCCCCCAGAGCCGCCCGATCATCATCCCACACTTCCTCCTCCTCACCACCACGACCATCCTCCATTACCCGCACGTCCTGACGCAGCCATGTCACCGCACGTCTACGATCACTCCCCGCCGCCATCCCACTCCAATTCCCCATCTCCCCTCTCCCTCCCCCTCTTCCCGGCTTTTCTGCCTCCCCTGCTGCCTGCGCCGCTTGTGGATTGAGCTGGATCCCAGTCACTCCTGCCGCTGCCCCTGGGGTGCTGCTGCCGCTTCTACTGGCAGTGCTACTGCTACTTCCGGCTCTGCTGTCCGTGTTGGCCCTCATCGTCATCGCCATCATGTCCAGCAGTCTGGTCGCCAGCTGCTCGCGGCTCTGACCCGTGGTGTCCAGAAGGCGGCCACCGTGGAAGGCCTGTGACCAAGGCGGGCGGGCGGGGGCCCGGGGGGCGGGAGGGGAGAAGGTTCAGAAAGCGAGTGGGGAGGAAAACCGAGACCCAGACCGACCCAGGGGGAGGGAACGTGCACCTTTGCTACGCTGAGTAACAACACCAACCACCGGCTGCCTCTTTCGGTGTTTTCTTGCAATGGAGCTGTGTGCTTATATTCAACCGGCCCCCAGCCCAACCCCCAAGGCCTCTCCCACCTCCACAAGCCGCATCAGCTCCCCCCTGCTCAGCAGCAGCAGACTGCGCAGCGTGGTGGGGTCCTTGTCCCCCGCCTGGTAGCCCGCACGACTCAGACTGCGACGAACAGCCGCCACCACCTACGTAAGGGGGAGAGGGGCACATCAAGGATGGCGACTGGGGTTGAGCCATGGAAGGGTGGTGGTGCTGGTGGTGGGAATCATATGATGATGGCGATGATGAACCAATAAACAAACAGCCACGTGTCGGCGTACAAAGGCCCACTTAGGGGAGAGGACAATACTTCCAAAGGTGACCGCACGGGGGGCCGGGCAAGCTGGCAGGGGAGGGGGATAGCCTCAAACACATCAGGAAAGATTGGCCAGACCAAAACGGGACTGGGGGACCATAAAGGCAACGGGAGGATGTGCGATGATATGCAGGGAAGGGGATGGAGGAAGTTGCCAGCTCCATCAAAATGTGATACCCACATCCTAAGATATGGCATTCGCGATCAGAGGAGAGGAGGAGAGGAGTTGAAGGACAGGAAGACGATATTTTACTAATGATGTAAAGGTCAAAGCACCGACTGCCGTGGGCATCCGAAGCGAAGGATGGGGGTGCGAGGGAGAGGTCTCCAGGAAGCGGGAGGTAGGGTGTGTGGCACAAGCACCAGATGGACCCCTGCTGCCGTACGGCTGTACGATGATCGGATGGGGGGCCAGGTGGGAATGATACGCAAGGAGCAAAGCATCGACTGCCGACGAGGCTTGGGTAGATGAGCCAGCACTCGGCGAAGGCCTGGGGGAAAGCAGGAACGCACCTCCGACGGACGCGGAGGACCCATAGACGGCGGCGAGTCGTACAGAGAGCCGTCATCCGGTTTGCCGCCGACCATGCGGGACGACAGCAATCCGCTGGCGCTACTTGCGGCGCTCGAGCCGGACCCGGCAGCTACTGCAGCCAGGAGGTCCGTCGTCAACATGGACGCGGACTCATGGCGATCGACTGAGCGCTCCCCAACCAGCTGCTGCTGCTGCTGCGGTGGCAGCGATTGCGACGCTGTTGTTTGCTGCTGGAAAGGTTCCTGTTGCTGTAGTTCCGCCGCCGACTGTCGCGGTGGTGCTGGCGGGACAGGCAGTTGGCGCTGTAGCGACGGCCGCAGTTCCCCCTGGTTGCCTCCGCCGCCGGTAGCAATGGACGCAGTGCCAGGTCTCGTCCCCGCCGCCGCTGCTGCAGCCTGCTGCAGCCGTCGCCGCAGCTCCTCATCAAACAACGCGTCCGCCTGGCGCTCCGCCTCCATGTGTAAAGCCGCTTCCGCCGCCTCATCGTCCACCTCCGGCTGTATTGCTGCGACGGGCGCAACGCCGCTGATACTGCCGCCAGCGGCATTGGCGTTAGCTCCAAAGCCAGCCTGACGTAGCCAATTGGACTGGTGAAGTGAAGCAGGTCGCTCCCAGCCACTGGCGGCGCTGCCGCGCCGTGCCGTGTCAGCCTCCGGCGCATTCAACCATTCATGCAGGGCTAATGCCAGCAGGTGCGGATCTGGATCTGATCCAGGTGGGATGTGCAGGCGGGCCTGGCGGCAGGCCTGGACAAGCTCAGTGGCCTGGATAGGGCACATGCAAGAAGACCATGGGCGGTCGGTTGGGGCTTTGGACACAGAACGCGCGATATGAAGGGGTAATGGTGCATCTTGCATAAGCCCTAAGCTTTGACTGAAGCTGGCGCCTGTTGAGTGACCCCGACGCATGGTAAAGACCCACCGGGAGGCGTTGCAGCGAACCCAGATCCAGAGACCTTCTCTTTGGCCGCCCAAGCAGAAGCGAGAGCCGCTCCTTTACGGAGTCTCTGCATGCGATCGTTTTGTTGGAGCTTCCAAGTAGCCGCGACGCCCCGCCGGCACTCATCTATCAGTCCACAACGGGAGCGCACGATACACTAAACTTCTTACCTAAGCGCTTCTTCCAAATGTTGGCCTGCTGCATGATGCTGACTGAGGATAGTCTCAATCCCAACATCATCACGGAGGAACGATTTGGGCCGCGAACCGGACGACGGGGCAGAGTACATGCATCTTGCCACCGATGACGCAACAGCAAGTTGCAAAAGCCAGCTAGCATGGCTGCCGGCCACGCGATAACATTCCGATGGCTTAATAGAAGACAGCTGGCCTAGCATAACAGTAATGCAGAGTTTCTTTATAATTCCGGATGCAGTTAAACTATATCCTGGTAATCCTTGCTGTGTACCAGCAAAGGCCGCTATGCAAAATTAGTTGCCCGTTCTGGCGTCGCCAACACTTCCCAAGGTGACGGGTCCCGCCGAGGCTTCCACAACAGAAGAACTGGTCCTAGTTTCTAATTTACGCAAGGCCGAGTCAGTATGGTGCAAATGAAGGGCGGCCCGTGAGTCTGCTGGCGTATTGAACCATGGGGCGCGCCATAGCGATTACATGCCCTCCACTGGCTTCCGATTCACCGCATTCGGATTGGAACCTGTCCTGCACGCCCAAATTTTAACCCAGCCGCCAAACTATCCAAGAACAAGAAGAACAGCAAATGCAACTTCAACAAAAGGGGCGCATCCCAAAGTGGCTTGCAACTCAACGCCACCCCAACTCCGTTCATCACAGTACCCCCACAAGAAAAGTCAAGGCCCCACTTAACCTCCATATCCAAAATCTCCTCCATGCCCTTATCCCAAACCCCATGCTCCATCCCCTCATCGCCACTTCATCCTTCGTCTTTCCGCGCGCTGCTGGCTCCGTTCTAGCCGCTTCCTAGTGGCCTCGTCCAAAACCGGCTGTTCGCGGCTCTGCGCCCAGTAGGGCTGAAGTACATTCTTATACAGTAGATACAGCAGGAAGCCTGGGATCACCAGAAGGGTGAGCCAGAAATGCGTGGAAAGGCAGGTGGCCACCTGCACAAAGATGCTGAAGGAGACATAAGTGGGTAGTAAGGGGCCAGGGACGGAATGAGAGTGAAAGTCCCGTGACGGAAAGCAGGTGCCGAAAGGATGATTACTATGTCCATGGTACTGCCCTCTCAACGTATTGGGGTCCCACAATAGGACCAGTCAGCCATCTGTTCGTGCGCCCCACCTGTTCCCCCAAGCATGCACAAAGGCAGCGTTAAAAGCCCCAGGTCAAGAGCCGCAGCCGCCGGCGTAACTATGCTGTGATGGAGGCATGGGTTGGGATACGCCGGAGAGACCATGCAACCGTTTGTGGAGGACTGCGCAATAGCAACGCAAGTTCGTACCCAGTTTCCCCCTTCTCCCTGAAGCCCAAATCCAAAATGTGGGACGCGTCGCGCACGTACCTGATGTACAGCAAGTCATGCCAGTAAGCACACATGCCGCCCATGCTGAGGTCCGCCCCGCCGTAGACGATGTCACCTCTGTCGTTGAACTCCGGTTCCGCAAACTTGGAGATAGCGCTGTAGCTGAATAATTCAAGGAAGAAGGTCGCTCCGAAGCCAATGATATGCCACCATGATGTGTAGCCTTGTCGAATAATCAAGCGGACAACCAAGTGGAATGCAATTCCGATCGCGATTGCTATCCGCAGCTTTTCCAGCCGTTTACGGTTTTCCTCCGCACGCTTCTTTGCACCCTGGTTGGCCATGCTGTCGGAGAAGACTGACACGATTGGCCCGACTAGTACAGGCCTTACACCACAGGTCCCTTAATCTAGATACTGAGGCGTCCAAGTTATAAGGCACTAGTTGTCAAAGTTCATTATGTTCACCATGAGTTGAAAACACAAAGTATTGCTATGTCGACCCGTGAGACGTGTCCCTCAACACGCAACAGGATGCCATAGAGCTTTTATGGATAACAGTAGACAGAACCGGAAAGCGGAAGCACAAGCTTAATATACTGAGAGGAGCTGTTTGCTCAATTGTGCTTTGACCACTCCGAGACCCTGCTGGACGAGCGTCCTCTGCCAAACATAGGTGTGTTTCCACACGCTTAAAACGGATTCACGTAATCAATACCCGTTGATAAGAAACTTTACGCAGGATAACAATCTCTCGTGACAACTCCTTAGGCGGCGCACCTCATCCTTCTCCTAACTTTCTTGCAGCGGCACCAGAACTTCAACTTGACAATGGGTCAACTCAAACGGCGGCGTCCACAGCACCTACTCCGACCCGATGAGGTGACTCAGCTGTCTTGAGTGCACGTAACCCAGGGTAACCCACCCGGGTTAACGCTTCCCGTCCGGGACAAATATACTGTGCCTAAACTTGCAGCATTTCAGTTGCCTTCATTGAAAAACCAATGCTATCCTCCCCATCCTCTTTCGCCCTATGTTTCCCGTCCATATCGCCGCTGCTACCCACATTAATGCTAACTCGAGAACTGCACGCAAGCTATAAGCTTCCCCAAAACTTCCCCATCCGCGCACGGGGCCCCCTTACCTGTCCCTTTCCTTATTCTGCCTTCTCATCACTTAAGTAGCTCCTTTCCAAACCTTTCCATGATCTGTGCTTGCCGGCCCGCAGATGCTGGCAACTCTAGCCTCCTTACGGCTTCACGCGCTGCTGCAGCACGGCGTCATCTGGCTGGCTGTGCCCCCCGAGGTTTCGGAGCTGCTGAACCAATGCTGCACTGGGCAGGTGAGTCCTTCGACCTCAGCTGCCAGCTCGGAAAAGTGGCAGACGGCTCCGTGGCTTGTAACCGTACATCCAGAGAAGTACTCCGTACCTCTTGAGGGACACGCCACGCACCGCGGACTCCCTCCTCATCTCAATCCTCCCAACATTTTTCTTGTTTCCGCCCCCCATGCAACTGTGCAGATGGACGGTGGGCCAGGTACTGCGGACGAGGTGGCGGCGGTGCTGACGCCGCTGGTGGGCGAACCGCAGCTGCCTCATGGATTACGCGCCCCAGCCGCGACAAACTGCGCCGCCTCCGTCGCTGCTGATGCAGCTGCGCAACTGCCGCCGCAGCAGCAGCCCGACGCCGGTATTTCGACAGGACTGGACGGTACGACGGCTGAAGAGGTCCAGGCCATGGAGGTGGATGATGGAAACCAACAGCTGCTGCGTCCGCCGCAGCAATCTGGGGAACCCAACCTGGCAGCAGCGGCCGGCAGCAGCGACCAACGGGACAGTCCCGCTGCCGCCGAATGTGGAGAGGTCACGACTTCTACCATCGGATCACCAACCGCTGCAGGAGCTGGGACGACAAGGCCCCGTTTTCGTCACTTGCCTATGGATACGAAAGATGACGGAGTTGCCGGCGCGGCAGCGGCAGCAAGTAAAGGTCAGGGAGATAACGGAGCGGTGTTGGAGAGTACGGGAACCACAGGGACCGCCGTACCGCCGGAAGCGTTGGGTATGGACCCAGCAGCCGGGGCGGGGGAGCCTGAGGAAAGCAGGCAACGAATGGGAGCGGCGGTGGAGGCGACGACAACAGCGCCGGCGGCAGGGCGGCCCGGCGGGCAAATCCCAGGACGGCCAAGGGGTCGTCGCGGCGGCGGCGGCGGAGGCTTTCCGCCGTACAGCCCCGCCGCCGTGGGATGCCGCTTGGTGGCGGTAAGGCTCACGCTTGAGGAGGCCTTCTTTCTGCATTACGTGCTGCGCTGCCTTGAGGTACGGCAGAGGAAGATTCCTTGGAAGACTCCGGACCAATATGGTAGTGTCGTACCGTTGTAGTGTACAAATTGTATACGGCATTTGTGCTGCGTCCATAAGTGGTCAGCACTGCGTGTGGGGTGCCACCTAGTTTCCATGCCCTCCCCCGGCCGTGCTCTCAGGTGTACGAGCTACACCCGGCGTTGCCCATACCCGCTGCTGCCGAGGATGTACAGCTTTTGGACACGGAGGTGCGGCTTCCGCTCCTGCGATCTATGCCCCAAAATATCCCGTTGTGCTTCTGCACCCTCGTAGCTTGTACGGAATGCAACAAACCCCCCACTTTGCATGTACGACAACATGCTCGCGTAGTAATTCCCACGCGCAGGCGCTATGGAACTCATGCCGAGGCATCCGAAGTAACTTCGTCACGTCGTATGCGGCATACCACCACCTAAAGTGCAAGGTATGGGTGTACGGCAGCGTTAAAGGACATGTACGGCATGTTGGTATAGGAATGGCGCGCGTGGGGTCGCGGCACCACCGCTGTAGCATGACATGATCCGATACCCTGTCTGCACATAGAGCAGGACCCCACAGCCCCGCCCTCTTCCGCATCTCTCCACCTTCCCGTAGCAGCCGTCCTAGCAAGCCACACAAACCCTTGGCTGGATGGGAGCACGAACCTCCCGCGGCGAAGTGCAGGCGGCCTGGCGCTCACCCTCAACTGTACGACCCCTCCCTGTAACCGCGCCGTGCACACCCACCACGTTAACATTCAACTCTGGGCGCAACCTTCCTCTCTTATTAATGTCCGCTCACCAATCTCCTTTCAATCCATGACTGTCTGCAACCCCACCGGCCCTCTCCGCTTCGGATCCTTGGATCCGGCTCGTCCACACGGATCCGGATCCAGGGCTGGATTCCGCGTTCTGGACTTCTGTACGGAGTGGATTTCGTGGTATATCAGCTGCACCCCGTGGGTGCGCACAGCGACTTTGGGGTGCTGGTTATGCCGCTGGGGTCTGGACCAGGGGGCAGCAGTCGCAGCGGGGGCCCCCACGCACCGCCCTTGAGCTGGCTGGACCTGCAGATCACAAACCGCCTCATCAACCAGGTGCCTGATTAAGCATTCCGTTCGGCAGAAGGGCACGTGTGGTTTGGAACTGAACTTGAGCGATAGGAAGGCACGTGCGGTGTATGCGGTCACAATGAAGTTACATGACGAATGAACTAACGTATCGGTGTATACGTGTGTTTTCGCGCAGCTGCACGTGTGTACATACATACATACATACATACATACATACATACATACATACATACATACATACATAGGTCAGGCACTACCGGTAGAGCTCGCACCAATGCCCCCGGGAGATCCCGGTATCGAAACCTGTCAAGGTCGAAAGTCCTTCCGATGGTGGAAGGTAAAGTGCCCCTAGTCGATGGACGATGGTGACGTTAAAGTTAACTTGCGAGCTGACCAGGAATGGAGTTGAGCTGCCGTTGATCCGGCAGATTCCGTTGGATGCCGGTGGTGGGTGCGGAACCTGAGCGATTCACTGAGAAGTTGACAAGGGTGACTAGATGAGGGTGCCCCGAAATACTGGGGAAGGCAGGGTTTCGCCGGATAGCGGCCACGGGCGAACATATGCCCCCCTGTCCCACACATCATACATACCTGTTCCTAGTGGAACTCATTGGATTTGGGCTGCGAGGAGACGGAAATCTCAAACCATTATGCACATGTATTCTACCGTCGTGTGCTTTTGGGGCCTCGGACTGCAGGCGCAGGTAAAGATGGGGCCACACGCAGTGCCAGCTTCCTTTCCTACACACCTCGCCTTTATTGATATCACTAGCACACACACACATCGCCAATCGCCAACCACCAACCGCCAAGAAGTCATAAGGCAGCACTCGTTCGACTTATTACCACCCGACCCGATACGACCCGTGGCAACATTACCGTACAGGTCGTGAAGAGGCTCGTCCTGCTGTACTTGTACGAGCGGCCTGGGCCCGACCACACGACCCCACGCTGCCTTAGCAATTTCGCGGTGGGTGGAAAAGGTAGTGGTGGTGGTGGTGCACGGAGGTGATCTGTACCTGTTTTTTCTACAGATAATTGCGCTTGGGGCGCGGCTGGAGAGGGGTAATGGGCATAGGATCCCGGGGCAACCCGATGAACACTGGCGTGCGCGCACGGAGATCACGTTCAAGGACTCACAGAACCACGGACAGTGATAGTCCACGGGCAGCGGCATAACGCCGCAAGCGGTGCTGTTGTGGCTGCGGCTGCTGCTGCTGCTGCTGCAACTGTCAACTTTCGTGGCATCTCTCAACACACGCCACACGCTGCACCTTTTACCCACGGCTCTTCGAGCTCGCATAACTCCAATGGAAACTGCCACACTCAGCTAACAACACCCATTTTAACCATCGTTACTTCCTGGGCTTCTTCCGCTGCACGACGGTAGGTGGAGGAGCGCCTCGTACGTCGCTGGGTGCCCGACGCCACTCGCGACTGAGAAGCGTCTTAGTATGGTAGGGGCTGTGTAACTGTTGGCCGTACCTACAAATCATACAAATATCGTACAAATACGACGTGGGGCTTATGAGCCCTGGGCTGTCGGCAGGGTTTGCCAGCTAGGACTGGGGTTCCCCTTCCAGGTATTTATGGTTGGGTGCTCACCCTTTCGGCCGCGCGACCTTCGATCAGGTCCTCGGAATGGGGCTAGGAGACATGTGATATGTAGGCCGTGGTACTGGGTGCCGGGTTTTCCCGAATCAGTCAATATGGCGGTTTGAGGATACCTGGATTTGTGTTTTAGGTCGTGTTTCTATTGGGTTTACCGGGGGCAACTGACAAGGTTGCCTAACTAGGGTTGCGTCGCGGGGTGATTGGGTAAGCGGCCTGTACTATGGGCACAGCTGCGCTGCTGCTGTTAGTGATGACGAAAATGATGGAGACGTGGGGACTCCAGAGCCTCAGAACAACGGCCAGGTCGTTAGTGAAGCGGTCAACGGTGAGGCAGTTGAGCTATTGGAGCTTTCATCACACCTCACCTGCCAGGGTACCATCTTGTGCAACGTTATGGCCACAAACAGAATTCGTTGTTGGGGGGGGGTGCTCAGGGCGGGGAGCTGATAGAAGTTGAGAGAGAGACGGTCCTGTCAGTTTGGGTGTGTGGGATTACCAACCACAAATGTGATAACTTAGGAGAGTTGCATTTATTGCATGGAACATTTTTGGTGTGAGAGCAAGACAACGATATTGTGGGAGGATTTGCGTGGACCTTGGGTCAGGAAGGATTTGCACGATGCAGTACGGCAGCACTGTGTTGGTTATTGAAGGGGAAATTTGGGGTGCGTAGCTCTGCCACCTGGGTCAGGAGCGATAAGCGACACACCAAAGGACAAATGTTTCTGGAAATGACTGCGGTTCTTCAAAGCGGGGATAACTGCTTCCTACTGATGGAGCTGTGTTGATGGATGTGGGTATATAGCACTCACGCGACCATGTCATCGTCCTGGGTGGAGAAGTTCCGCAGCGGCGAATAGTACGACAGCCCATGCCTCGTGGTTTACTGGCATCAGCGGACATGCTTCCTGGCAAGCAAGTACACTGCGGCCTTCCCGTGTTCCAGCCGCTATCGCTATCTTTGGCTATCCAAGTGCGTTCCCTGTGCCGTGTTCGTTCGAACAAGCGAGGCTCACATGGTCCGTTTCCGCATAGCGTTATCCAGGGGGTTCAAGTTCTGATGTCATCCAGCTTCCTTACTCTTGCCTTTCTGCTACAGCGTACAGCATTATTCTTATAATAAGATCTTACAGTACCGTAGGTTATTGGAGTTCCTGAAGTGAGGAAGTTTCAGCTTGTGTGACCACTCAACTCCTTGAGGGAAGCACGAAACCCTACAAGCTGTCAATTATAGTTTTCTACACCACCAAAAGGCAAAGCTGGTCTATGTGCCCGCATATTGCGTATGAACCTGTACCTACAGCCCCGTGCCATGTCATGCTTCCAACAGCATTTGTAATGCGCATTCTGCCTAGAACAGACTTCCGTAAAGCTTGTACAGAGGAAGGGAAAGGACCATAATCCATACAGCACACATGAGAAGCTTTACATGCTTGCATCGTCCAAAATGTTATGCACATGTTAAGGTGATCTATATAGTTGGCTTGATGCAGGCTTTTGGGGCAAAGGTCGCAACTCTGCAAATTGTCGTGACCGTACCACCGTACACCATTTACCAGTGGTTAACAACCGCTTACTGCGGACTTGCGATGGCGTTTCACTAACTTTGTTACTCTATTTCATATAGGTAGAAACTAAACGGGCGTTGTTTTATTGCCGCCTGCTCTACACGATTGACGACTGTCTGATATGCTGACGCTTTTTTCATAGAGGCGGAGGGCCTCTATCTATCGTTTATTATTATAACTTGAGGACTTGCTTTTGTCATCTGTGGAGGCATGATGAGGGGCAAGAGGGCACAGGCTGCCCCGCCCCAGCAGCCAAACAAGCGGCATAAGCCCTCTCCTCAAGAAGAGGGAGCTCCATCCTCCGACATCGATATGCTTCAGATGCTCCCGCCCGAGATGCTGCACCTTGTCATTGGCAATCTGACGCCCCGCGAGTGCCAGCCCTTGCGCCTCACCTGCAAGGCGATATGCAATGTTGTCAACGCACAGGTGGCAGATACGCTAACCGTTACGAACGACATGGCGCAATACCTCGTGCTGAAGCAAGTGGAACATTTTCGGTCGGGTCCCCCCATCATGAGCAACGGCTGGGTGGCAAACCTTTTGGCGAAGTTCCCTAAGGTTAAGAACTTGGACGTGAAGTGCAGTCAAAGTGTTCTTACTTTGTTTGCTCGACATATGGTGCGGGACTGCCTCGCGAGCAGTCCGGCCGGCAGTGTTCCACTATCGCGCATTTTTGACCTTGCGGATCATGTAAAAACCAACAGCAGACGACATTCAGCGGTGCTCATCTGCGAGCTCATTAAGTTCAAAGTTGCTCAGAGCTTGACTTCCAAGCCACCTGGATATGAGGCAATGCGGCAAGATATCAAGCAGTATGGGCGTGCAGATCAGGTGGGTTATATGGGTTGGAATGCAGACTCTGCGCGGGTTACAGGCGAGTTTTGTCGCATCACGCATAACGGGCTTTTCGCTCAAAATGGCCGTTCATTTCAGGTCCATGCGCATCCTTAACATTTAGGGAGTTAGAGGCTTTCTTCGTGGATACCATCTTGGTAATGCTGATGGCCCCAGGCAAAAAGTGCATGTCCGCATGTGCCAGTCGTGCTGGTGCAGGTTTCTAAGGGCAGCTGTCGTTGCATGCAATGATGGCTTTGTTGCGATGGCATACCTGCACGTTGTGCTTATGCACGTTGTGGTTCTTTACCTTCTGACCCTTTGCGGCTCCCGCCCTGCTCTTGTGTACCAGTTGCTGACGGAGCACCGGATCGAGCTCCAAGCGCGTGTCATTGAGCTGGTGGAGAAGGTGCTGACGTTAAAGGGGCACGTTGATGCGCGGGCGCATGAACACTACAAGTATGCACGCGACACACTGGACGACTCGCTGCTGCAGCTGGTGTCCTGCTTGCAACCGCGGCACAGCAAGTACGCCTATCAGTTACTGGCGAAAGCAGCAGATCCGGCCAAGGCGGCGCGCGGATGGAGGTACGTGTGTTTGGGGAATTATGATTCGGCCCGAACTACACTGCAGAAATTATCAGCAACTTCCGTTGTAACCCAGGCATGTACATTCGTCCTATATGCTGCTTAACTTACTGCAACGTCATGTCGTCCTCCTCCTGCGCCTGTGCTAGTAGTTGGGTTTAGGCTCCGCGACCTTAGAGGGAGTAGTTGCCCTCGAGGATTGTTCCAGCACGGATTATCCCTTGGACATACTGGGACATATGGCCTGCACACCACAATATCTGTTTGTGTAAGGAGCACGCATCCTATCCGGGATGTCCCTGGTCAGGTGGCTTTTCTACTTCCTAGCGCGGCAGAAGCAGGCGGAGGCTGCCATTGAGGCTTACAAGGTGGTGGATAAGCAGGCGCTTGCGCAACTGAGCCCCACCTGCCTCAGCGAGCTCTTCCGGAGCCTTATTGACAACGAGATCACCACGCAGGTAAGACCGCGTGCTGAAACACGGCTGCTTTAATAGGAGAGCACCACAAAATGCTAAGTCTGGGACCTGGGTGATCAAGCGCTTGATTCCTGCCTTTCGTGTCCGATATGCCTAGAAGTACGGCGTCGCGCTGCTTAGCCAGTGTGGCCTTGCTAAACTAATAACGCAATTGCATTCGCTTGGGGCACGGGATTTTTCGCCGTGTTTTTCCTGGCATGCATGTTCACAACGGGCGCCACTCCCTTGATGCTTGCCCTGCAGCCGGAGCCCAAACTGCGTGCAATCACCAGTGACAGCGGCTCCTGGACCAAGTTTCTTTACCGCGGCAACTTCACGCTAACCTCGACTCAGAGCAGAGAGGGTGCACTGGAGAAGGTGGCGGCTGACCTCGTAGGCAAGGACTATCTGGATACAGCGGTCAACGTGATGAACAGGTAGGGAGGAGACATGCCTGATGTTTTGCGGGCAGCTTCTGTTTCGTAGCCTGAATGTAACTGTCGGGTTAATCGGGGATTGCTTTCACTGTGAAGGTAACCCCAAGGGAAAGGTCGTGCAAAGCAAATTAGAACTTTATGTAACCACTGATAGTCTCTTGTCCATGTTCAAAGTAATGGTACCCTGGCAGCCTGGAGCAGCAGGTGGCGTTTTTTCTGCACATAGAGATTCTTTTGGCGCAACCACGCGCTTTCTAATTCTAGCACTTCGAGCCATTGTTTTGTATCCGCTAGAAATTCTGGACGCGTTGCCATGCCTGCTATCTACGACAGATTCGAAACAGAAAGCACGGCGATGGAGATCTGGACGCAGTTGTTGGGCGCACTGGGCATCGTGCCTGGAGGCGAGATGCCGCTGGTGACCCGCGACTTGCACCGTGTCGTTTCGGACCAGGTGACCAAAACTGCAGTCCTGCCCGCGCGTGTATGATGGGGCGTGTGCAGCCCCCGTTACAGCTACATTACAGCTACAGATATGTAGATTACCTCGGCTTGAACTCGGCCCCTGTTTGCTGTACAGGTGCACAAGGCTTCCTTGCTGGCTATGCAAGCGCAACCCGCGCGCCGTGTCGCGTGCCACGTCCCGCTGGTGGATGTGCTAGTCTCGGAGGGCCACCTAGAGGAGGCGTATAACATGGTCGCCAACGTGAGTGGGGCCCGGTATTTGTGGGCATCCACGGACAGTAAGGGTTTTATGGCGCCCTATTGGCTAAGATTTCTTTCTTTGAGGTGCACACTTGCACAATGCGGAATGACTGTCAGGGCTTGTTTCCCTGAGGGTTTCAAGCTGCAGAATCAGCAGACATTGTGATGACTGACCTGCGCGTCTGCATTGACTGGCCTGCAGTACCCGGAGCAGGGCGCTCTGGATAAGCACCTGCTGCGCTCCCTCTCCAACGTCTTCTCTCTAGCGGACTGCCCGCCGGCGCAGCTGAGCAGCAAGACGTGTGATCTGCTGCTTGACGTGCTGCAGCACCGCCTGCGAGACGTCGCGGCGCGCTCGGAGCTGACTACCATCCTAGTGGCTGCCTACGCAGCACGCAAGGATCTGGACACAGCCGTCAGGTTGGCGAACAGTCTTGACGCCGCTGCCGCGGCGGCGATGGAGGCCGATGCGGGCGCTGCGGGCGGGCCTGCATTGGAACCGGTGCCAGCGGCAGCGGCGCAGGGCGCAGCGGGCCTAGGCCCTGGGGGAATGGGCGTTGATGGTGTCGCCATGGCCGGGGTTGAAGGAGACGGGGGGCCGGGGGCAGTTGCTGGGCAGGCGGGGCAACGCCTGGCGGAGATGTGGCGTGGCGTGGCAATAGCAGCAATCCGCCAGGGTGACGCTGGCGTGCTCCTAACAGCTTTACCTCGGGTGAACACGTCATGGCTACTAGGCCACATGGACGAGGACTTTGGCCTTGACAGCGTCGCCCCAGTGGCCGCTGCCGGCAGAGCAGGACCCTCCTCACGGCCGCGGCAAGAAGACGTGGGGCTAGGATTAGGTCATCTTGGGACGACAGCAGACACTGTCGGAGAAGCTGCGGCAGCTGGCGCAGGCTTGCTGATCAGCAGCGGCGGGGCAGCGGTCTTGCCTCCAGGGCCCACAACGGTGTGGCAGAGTGTCTGTGGCGTTTTATTGCGGGCTAGCCGGCGCGCTGACCTTGAATCGGCGCTGCTTCAGCTCCTAGCTGAACGCCGGAGAGTCCTAGGGGGGCACACGGACCAACGGGCACTTCTCGAGGCTACGGCGCGTGCGATGATTTTAAATGGCTATTCAGCAGAAGCACTCACACTTGCTCGACGGCTTGGCGGCAGTTACTCGTCCTCCCCTGAGCAGGGCTGTGGGACAAGCAGCGCTCTCGGCGGGGATGGCGGCATAAACACGGGTGATGGTGCTGGGCTCTCCGTCGCACCCGCGGAGTTGGAAAGTTCAGCTGGAACTACAACGGGTGTGCGTCCCTGCTGGTCCATGCTTAATATTATCCTAGAGGGCTTTATGAATGGGGGCCAGTTGCAGCTGGTGCTTCAGGAGCTATTTGCGGCGGGGACGGCACAGTCAAAGGAAGCGGCTAGTTCCTCCGGCGGCGCCAGTAGCGCCGCCCTAACGGGGGGGAATGTTGCCGCGGGCCTAGTACTCCATGCCGCTGCAGGCCGGCTAAGGCAGTCGCTGTTAGCCGACGTCCTGGCGTCTCTAACCGATGCGGGCCGCTTAAGTGAAGCTGTACAACTCTTGCGCGTTCTCCGCGGTGGGGAGGACGATGGTCTGCTTTTGCCACCTCCGGCCATGCCTTTGCCTACCGGTGCCGCACAGCGCGGGACCGCCGGCACAGCACGCGCGACACGGTCTAACCGCGCTGCGGCTGCTGCGGCCAAACGTAACCGCGGAAACTTTGGGCCTGCAGCGATTACCGAACAAGGCGCTGCTGATGGCACAGCAGCGGCCGTTGCCACTGCTGCTGCGGTGCTTGCAGGCATGGCAGAAGCGTCAGGGGGCGCCGGGCTGGGCCAGGCAGGTGCGACTGGGCCCGCGCCTGCCAGTGCTCATGGTCTTGGTGAGCCTGGGCATTGCCCTCAACCCCAATACAGCCGTCTTCTTCTCGAGGGCAGCGGTGATGACGAGGCGGGCCAGGCGACTGGTGCTGCCCTTGGTTCCAACGCGGGTGCTCCACCACGTGTCTCGGCGAACACGGGGTCAGGGCCGTGCACCCGTGCCGCATCCCTGGAGGCCGCACTCGCGTCTCTGGTTAAGGCACTGCTAAAGCGTTCGAGCAGCACCGGCAGCGGCGTTGCAGGTGGCTCGGCGGCTGCTAGCGGCTCGTCCGTCGGTGGTGCTGGCTGCGGGGGTGAAGGGGGGGGAGGCGGCTCGTCATCAAGTAGTGATGTGCTTGGGGACTGGCTAGAGGTATGCAAGGCCTGGCCCCTCGGACCTAGCCGCGACGCTCAACTTGATGCTTTGGCGCGGAGAGCGATGGATAGGGGCCGAGACCTGGAGGTGGCGCTTCAAGCTGGCTGGTTGCTTGGTGAAGCATCACCTCAGGTGTGATGCTATTATCGTTGCAAGATTTGAACTAGCGGACGCAAGCAGCAGGAATGTCGCATCTGCTGGCACTAGAAAATTTGGAGCGTCTGAAGGACCGTGGACAATTTACTTTGGGTGAAGAATTGTGGCGTCGTGGCTTTACACCCGCATCTTCCCGTTACCACTTGTCATCTTCCAACCCCAATGGCCAATGATGTGCAGGAGCAACGTTTTGCCTATACCCATCGAGACCTTGCGCAAAAATGCATGGGACAGGGCATGCTGGAGGCGGCGCAGGGATGCCTGCTGCGCGTGCATCCGCAGAACAGGGATTCAGTGGATGCGGTGGCCCGGGACCTGATGCGCGCGTTGGCACGGGCAGGCGACAAGCCCGCCGCCCTCCAGTAAGTGATTCCGGGAAGCATTTGTACAGGGAATCTCCGGACTTTTAAGCTCTACAAAGGTCGCTGTCCGTGGAACATTACAGCGAGAGGGCATTGCTGGGCAAAATGTACCGTGGGCGCCCTCTGGACGGAACTGTTGAGCTAGTCGCTTTCGTTTGTATCCAACCTTGCTTGAGGACCAGCTTTGTAGAAACGGCTTGGAAGGTGCTGAATACAGCCCGAGCTAATTTGTACATTTGTAGCTTTAGTGCACGCAGCGCGGGACATTGTGTACTGTTCAGCGGAGAACGCAGTGTTTTGGGAACTGTAATGTCCGCGTCGAGTGCATCCCCTAACGGCTGCTGCGGCCCCCCTACGATCATAGGTTGGCGGCGGGCTGGGCCACATCCGAGGAGCAGCGCGCAGAGATGGTCAAGCTGATACGTGCAACCCGATCAGCGGCCAGCGCCGGTGGAGCAGGGGGCGGGGCTCCAGGCAGTCGAGCAGGCTCCAGTAGCCGGGGAAGCTCACGGGATTGTCCCCGAGAATGATGACCTCGTGAAGGCGTTGCCTGATGACTTATCCGACGCATGAAGTGGCGACGGTGGCGTTACCGTATTTTGCATGTGCAACAAGCATCAGGGAATTACGGGCATGAATTGGGGCAGCATCGGTCTCTTCTCAGCCTCTCCTGCAGCAGTTACCACGGAGCTACTGCAATGTTGCAGGCTGCATGTAAGCGTGCATGTTACATAATGGCACCAGAAAACGATGAGGAACTTTTGCAGGCGGTGCGGCAGGGTGTGTCTCCGAGGCGCGAGAAAAACATGCCTGGCTTGCCTATCTAGCTTTGGCTACTCTGTATCGATGCTGCTTGAGCGAGCAGGTCAGATCAGGTCATCTCGGTGCTTGGGGCCAAGCGATCATGGCTGAAGATGCGATTGATGTCGCGTACCTCAGTACACGACGCGCAGGTAAGTCTTAATGAAAAAGCGGATTCTCAGCCGGCAGCGGATTCTAAGCCGGTAGATCGAGAGCTGCGTCTTTAGCAGCGTTTGGGCTGTTGCATGGACCTAAGTATACCCGATGCACATGACAAATAGCTGCTGCGGACAAGTGTGTATCAGGGTTGACCGCATAGAGAAGTAGCCCCCTTTGGTAATTGCCTTGTATTCAAGTTGATTTGAGCTGAACCTGACATCCAACCTCATTGAGCGCACGGGTGCTGACCGCTGATGGCATATTAATGTAACCAGTGCGGATTGATGGGACGCGGGGGGATGAACGGGCTACGTGCAGTTAAGCAATTGCGCCAGCGCTGTCCGCGATGCGCTTGGTAAGATTGACGAAACCAAGGTGTTAGCCAGGAGAATTTTTGACGCGGTGGTGAGTCTATGTGGTTAAGCATGGTTATGGCCGGATTGCACCCGAGGTGTTGGCTCTGGATTACGTCGCAGAAAAACATCACCAGGATAGCTCTGTCCTGCCCCAGTGGTTGCTTTCTCCTTCCTGTGCGTCACAAGGCCGTGGTTGTGAACGCTACGAAGGGCCGACGTCTCTTGGCTATGTGTGCGGGAGCCTGGTGGTCTTACTGCTCTGCTTATCCATCCGTGTTTTGTGTGCTGAAGTCTGGAACTTACCATCGTCAGGACGCCGTTACGCCGTCGAGGTTTGCTGGGTTGGTGGCTTAAGTCACGCCCTCGGTCTAATCCCCTGTTTGGCGTCCGCTCCCAGTCTTGCTACGGGCCTAATTGCGTCGGTGCTGGCTTGTGGCTGCAGCACTGTAGTGTGGCAGCGAGGTAGCATTTCTTTTGTGGGCATTTTTCTCTTATCCTGCTTTCCCCTAAGCCTCACATTTTGAAACTCCCTCATCAATGCTTGCAGCTTCCTTTCCTGCCTGAGTTGCGGCACTTCAGGCACCATCTATCCTAAATTTAGTTCGTGGTTGTAATGCGTAGGCCTCAACAGTTGCGTGTTCATTTCTGCTCCCAGATTGTTGGGTGATTTCCGCTCCCCAGATTGTTGTGGGCAAAATCATGGACAACTTCCCTAACGCATCATGTACGCAGTCCCCGCGGTTTGAATGCCTTTAATACTGTGCACCTCTTCATGTTTTTAGTATGACAGTCACACTAACAGGGACGGGACCCTCAGTTTCAACGCCGACGCTACCATGTCAACCTCTTTAGTGTAATAATCCATTTCAACCACACCACGTTACACGTTACCAAACAAAACCAGTATTCAGCAGCAGCGTGGCACATTTTAGCCTTAGACAGGCACCACCAACACCGCACGCGCTGCTGGCATATGCAGCAACGTCCATGTTATACCTGTACAGCCGCCGCCTCTGCTCCGCTCCACAACGTTTAGGGAATGGAAGGCCTCTATTAGAGATGCAGGGAACACAGTCCCGCGTATATGTTATTGTGTGAAAGCCCACCCCCAGCATCCAGTTGACTCTGCCCAGTCAACGTTTGTGTCGAGCCTACTCCTGGTCTGCTCGGAGCAGGTTTCAATAAAGATAATAGGGTCCATCCATGATTGTACATATATGTATATAATATGATCCATCCGCGTCACATCTCCGTGGGGTTGCATCCACTTTCCTATGTTGGACGGACTCTGTGTGGTGTACGTGTCTGGTGGAATCTGCAACCTTCCATGTACCCTATGTCGCGCCTTAGCAAAACCATCGTGTGGCTCAGGAGTGTCCTTCGGTGGTGTATCTCATGGAGTCGGAGGACATCGATCCCCCTACCTCCCGCAATCTACCTGCGGCGCTCAGCTTCATGGTCGCATCATGCTAAGCGGGCGCTCTACCATTTGAGCTACGACCCCACATGCTTGTCCTGTGCGCTCGATGAGGGGTTTGAACCGCCGACCTTACGGTTAACAGCCGTACGCTCTACCGACTGAGCTAACCGAGCCGGCCGGAACGGGTTGTGTCGTACTGTACGACACGTACAGCAGTGTTTGGTGCATAACGTGCCGTACGACAGCTACTATGCAACCTGCAATCAGGTTACAATTAGGTTATTATAAATGTAGGTTGTACAGGTTACTCCTACATGGAGGTTTGCCATCAACAATGCTTCATCAGCAACTAGCTGCAAACAGGGCTCTATGGCCTTTGATTCGTCGGGTCCGCGCGAGCCCACTAGCAGGATGACGACCTACAGTTCATCGTGGTGAGACGCCTTTCCTTACCAATGATGATCAATGGCTGTATGGGCTGTGGCTACGCACATGCCTTCCACACAATGGCGGCCGGCAGTAGTATGCACGAAACGCGAGCTGCTTTGGGCTGCTTTGGGCGGGACGTGGGACGGAGTTGGTAACTGACATGGCGTACCATGGGAGCGTTGTTCTAGATTGGTTTTGTTCTAGACCCGACTGTGGACACACAGCGTCCAGGCTTGTGCCTTTGAAAGGCACAATCGCTGGTTCGATACATGCTGGGGGATGTCGCGGTCTCCTGTCACCCGAGCGGGGGCTGACACGTGGAAGTTCTTGATGATTTCGTCGGTCCAGATATCACCTGCGTCGATGGCATGTCCGCTCTGAGCCTACAGTCGACAACGGCCCATCCCTGACGGGAGGTGGTCGTGGTTGATGATTAATCCGGAAACGCGTGAGGCAGTAACCTGAGCAGCGAAAACGGGTAGCTGCGGGCGGCAGACGGATTGCATGCTTGAGTAGGTGGCTGGGCCACCCGGCGAGTCCTCTCAGAGGCAACCAACTGTTTTCGTGCTCCTCTGTGTGTGTACTGTCTTGGCAATCTTCTGTATGTGTACTGGCTTGCCACTTTTCGGTGTGTATGAGCCGCACTCTCCTGTAGCGTGCAGCTCTGAAAAGTGTCAATGCAAACCGCAAAGATGTCTGTCTACGTAGGCAAAGCCGAGCACAGGCATGTGACACAAGGTGCAAGCCTAGGGACTGGCAACATTCCTGAACGAGCGCAAATGAGCAATGGAGGAGAACATGGGATGAAGACGAGGACAATGGTGACGATGGTGGTGACGATGATGGTGACGATGATGGTGACGATGATGGTGACGTGGATGATGACAAATATAGTAGGATGAGGAGGATGCACCACGGGGCATGATAACCGTGTCATCAGCTGCCTGCCCTTCCACCTGCACCTTTATCTCTCTCCCTCTACCTAGCATGACGGGGGTGTGTACTGTATACGGGAATTTTATTTAGCCTTAGACAGGCGCCACCAACACCGCACGCGTTGCTGGCATATGCAGCGCTATACCTGTACAGCCGCCGCCTCTGCTCCGCTCCACAACGTTTTAGGGAATGGAAGGCGGCTACCTGCATCATTGTCAAGACAGACAGTGTCCAGGGCCCTCCATTCGAGATGCTTGGAAGCACACGCCGCGAGTGTGTGGGTATGCAGTCTGATTTCTGATTTCTGATTTCTAATTTCTGAATTCCGGTTCTGGAAAGGCCTCTATTAGAGATGCAGGGAACACAGTCCCGCGTATATGTTATTGTGTGAAAGCCCACCCCCAGCATCCAGTTGACTCTGCCCAGTCAACGTTTGTGTCGAGCCTACTCCTGGTCTGCTCGGAGCAGGTTTCAATAAAGATAATAGGGTCCATCCATGATTGTACATATATGTATATAATATGATCCATCCGCGTCACATCTCCGTGGGGTTGCATCCACTTTCCTATGTTGGACGGACTCTGTGTGGTGTACGTGTCTGGTGGAATCTGCAACCTTCCATGTACCCTATGTCGCGCCTTAGCAAAACCATCGTGTGGCTCAGGAGTGTCCTTCGGTGGTGTATCTCATGGAGTCGGAGGGCATCGATCCCCCTACCTCCCGCAATCTACCTGCGGCGCTCAGCTTCATGGTCGCATCATGCTAAGCGGGCGCTCTACCATTTGAGCTACGACCCCACATGCTTGTCCTGTGCGCTCGATGAGGGGTTTGAACCGCCGACCTTACGGTTAACAGCCGTACGCTCTACCGACTGAGCTAACCGAGCCGGCCGGAACGGGTTGTGTCGTACTGTACGACACGTACAGCAGTGTTTGGTGCATAACGTGCCGTACGACAGCTACTATGCAACCTGCAATCAGGTTACAATTAGGTTATTATAAATGTAGGTTGTACAGGTTACTCCTACATGGAGGTTTGCCATCAACAATGCTTCATCAGCAACTAGCTGCAAACAGGGCTCTATGGCCTTTGATTCGTCGGGTCCGCGCGAGCCCACTAGCAGGATGACGACCTACAGTTCATCGTGGTGAGACGCCTTTCCTTACCAATGATGATCAATGGCTGTATGGGCTGTGGCTACGCACATGCCTTCCACACAATGGCGGCCGGCAGTAGTATGCAC